ATTTTCTTAGTAATTTAAATATACGCTCAGGTTCTTTATGTATTATTTATTCTCAGTATTACAACCTTTCATATTACATTAATGTCATACAAAACTTATTATATTTATTACTATCACTATAACTACTAATAATGAATTCGCCAACTCTCTTACAATATTATTTTTATATGAAGTCATTATTAATATATATTTCAACACCCTCTCTTAATGACTTCCTATAATAATATAAAATACAAACTAAAATATAACATAGTTAATTATCATGATTAATTAACCCTTTCTTATTTCTAATCCAATTCTTTTACAGTTAGAGTAAAATTGAATTCTGCTAAGACCCTTGGTCAATAAATCTGCTGACTGAAGCTTTGTATTTAAATATTCTAAAATCATTGTGTTGGCCTTCAAAATTTCACTAATATAATTATACTTTAAATCAATATGTTTCACACGCTTATTATTTTCAGGATTTTTAACTAAAGAAATACACCCCTGATTATCCTCAAAAACTTTAAAACATTTAACATTTATATTCATATCATTCAGCAATCTTTTAAACCATAAACAATCTTGAACAGCTGCACATAGAGCCACTAACTCAGCCTCAGTACTTGATAAAGCGACACAATTTTGTTTTCTTGTAGTCCATGCTACTGTATTATTAAATACTTTTATTAAATAGCCAGATACTGATTTTCTATCAATTAAATCTCCAGCCCAATCCGAATCTACATAACAAATAAGAGGTATTCCATCATTTCTCTCATACTTTATATATAAATTAATTGTCCCCTTTAAATATATTAACAACCTTTTTAGACCTATCCAAACTTTTTCTAAATTCATGTCTTGAAATCTACTAAAATAATTTATGGCAAAACTAATATCTGGTCGAGATCCTAACATAAGATACATCAAGCATCCAATCAATTCTCTTACTGGTTTATTTGTTGTATCTCCATTTTCTTCATTTTTATCAATTTTTAACTTTGGATCAATTGGTAACTCACTTGGTTTACAATTTTCAAAATTAAAACGTTTTAAAATTCCAGTTAAATATCTTTGTTGATTTAATTTTAAAACACCTTTGTCTCTATCATAATCTATTTCTAATCCCAATAAATTCTTTAAATCTCCTTTATCTTTTGATTCAAATTTTTTTATCAAATCACATTTACATTTCTCAATTAAATTCAAGTTTAACCCAGCTATTATAATATCATCAACATAAAGTAATAAATATATACAATTATCCTTTTCATTTGATCTTTTAAAATACAAACAATAATCTGACTCGGATCGTTCAAAATTTAAACTAATTAAAAATTCATTCATTTTATCATTCCAGCACCTTGCTGCTTGTTTCAGTCCATATAATGATCTATTCAATTTTAATACATTGCCTATTTTACACTTTACCCTCTCTGGAGAGTATACATACACATTCTCTTTTAGATCTCCATTTAAAAATGCAGTTTTTACATCCAATTGTTTAAAATAAAATCCAAGTTGATTACCAATAGATAGAAGTGTTCTTATAGTCGACATCTTTGCAACCGGAGAATATATCGCATCACTATTAAAAGATTTTTTCTGCGCAAATCCTTTTACTACAAGTCTAGCTTTATATTGATCTTCTAATTTTTCTTCCAAAGGTTTTGAAACAAAAACCCATTTTGTATTTAAAATTTCTGCATTCTTTGGTGTTTCAACTTCTGTCCATGTATTATTATTTTTAATTGATTCTATTTCTCTTTCCATAGCTTTTATCCAGAATTGTTCGTCTTCTCTGTCTCTTAATTCTTCTACCCTTTCTGGTACTTTTTCAACATATGAAATAGCATCAAATGCTATATACATTTCATAATCATTATATTTTAACGGCAACCTCGTTTCTCTTTTATTTTCTTTTTCAATATTATTTTGTCCAATTTCTCTGTTTATCTCTTCCCTCACTTCACCTACATATTTCATTTCATAATCATCTTTCTCACTTGATACTTCAATTTCCTCATTTACTTCAATTTTGGGTATTTTCTTTACATAATAAAACTCACTTTCATTAAATATTACATCTCTTGCTGCTATTACCTTTTGCTTTTCCAAATTCCATAATCTATAACCCGTCGTTGTATATCCTATCATTAAGCACTTTTCAGATTTTGATTCAAATTTATCTCTAAATTGTTTAGGAATATGAGAGTATGCTACGCATCCAAAAACTTTCATATGTTTAATATTTGGCTTTGACCCATTCCAAATTTCTGCTGGTGTTGCATTATTTAAAATACTGCTAGGACTACGGTTTAAATTATATGCAGCAACTCTTATTGCCTCATTCCAAAATAATTTCGGCATATTGGACTCTTTTATCATAGCTCTAGCTTTATCTACTAGACTTCTATTAAACCTTTCAGCCTTTCCATTTTGTTCAGGTGTGTACCGGATTGTAAAATCTATCTTTGTTCCATTTTCCTTACAAAAATTCTTTATTTCATTAGAAACATACTCACCCCCATTGTCACATCTTAAAATTGAAATTTTTATATTAAATTTTGCTTGTGTCATTCTTACAAATTCCTTGAAACATTCAAACACCTCACTTTTAGCTTTCAAAATATACACATATACAAAATTAGAAAAATCATCAATAAACGTAACAAAATATTTACCACCATCATGACTAATTGGTGTAATAGGACCTACCACATCTGTATGAATTATTTCCAATAATCTTTTTGCCCTTGACCTAGTACCAAACTTCAGTCTATGCATTTTACCGTTAACACATGATTCACAAAATTCAATTTTTCCCAACTTTACATTTTCTAAACCAATAACCATATTATTTTTAATTAATTTATTAAGATTTGCATAACAAATATGTCCTAATCTCTTATGCCACATTTTAAACAATGTATTTTCTACTTCTGTATTTAAACATTCATTATTTACAACTTGAAATAGAATTTCATATAAATTATTTCTATACCCTATGCCTACTAAACTATTATTATCATATAAATAAACTTTACCTTTATTAAAAATTACTTTGATTTCTGACATTTCCAGTCTTTTAACAGATAATAAATTTTTTCGTAAATTAGGTACATAAAACACATTTTTAATGGTAATATTTACTTCCTTCCTATTTACTATACTTTTAACTTTAATATTTCCCACTCCTATTGCTTCCATGTAATTATTATTTTTAGCTATTGCTATTTTTATCGGATTCTTTAAAAACATTATATCAGAGAAAAAACATTTATCATTTACTAAATGATCTGTGCACCCAGAATCAATATAAAACAAAAGTTCATTTTTATTATTATCTACTTTTTCATTCCCCTTAACTTTATTTGTCATAAAACAGATACCTGGTTCATATTGTTCAATTTCTGATAGTTCTGTATTTTCTGTGTAGTTACCTCTTCTTCCTTTATTTTCATCCTCTCTTTTATCAAAATGCCTACCATTGTTTCCTCTATATCCTCTGTATTGTCCAAATCCGCCTCTACCTTGACCAAATCCGCCTCTATGTCCAAATCCATTTCTATTCTGTTCAAATCCGCCTCTACCTTGTCCAAATCCGTTTCTGTTTTGTCCAAATCTACCTCTGCCTTGTCCAAATCCGTTTCTATTTTCTTGATTTCTGTTCGCATTATATCCTGCTAAATAGCCCCAATTATCATTTCGAAAACTATTTGCTCTACATTCTCGTTTAAAATGTCCCTTTTTACCACATCCATAACATACACCTTGGTTTTTATTTACATTGAAAGCAGCAGACTTCCCATTGTCATAACTATGTCCACCATGTCCATCATCGCATAATGACCTTCTTTTCTCGACCTCTAGCCTCAATTTTGATTTAGCATATTCTAAGGTTAACTCATCACTAGGAGTATTCTCCAAAATTGTTACCACAGTATCAAAAGACGATGGCATTGCCAGTAACAAATTACATACAATATCTTGATCTTTTAAATTTGCCCCTGTAGCTCTTAGCTGCCTAATCACAAGCTCAAACTCAGCAAAAAAATCTTCTAATTTTTTTTTATTAATTAACTTCATCGACATCAACTTTCTTCTTAACAATAACTGCCCTGGTATACCTTTTTTTTCGTATCTTTCTTCCAAACTTTTCCACATATTAAATGCTGTACTCTTTCCTCTCACTACTTCAATCTGTGTATCATCTAAACACTGAACTATAAGTGACTTGCACAAATTATCTTTTTTTTTCTTTTCAGCCTTTTCCTTTTCATCACTATAATCTGATTCTTTAAACTCTTTTACAATATACTTAAACACATCCTTTTCTTCTAATAACATATGCATTCTAAATTTCCATGTATAATAATTGTCTGCATTCATCAGTTCAATATTAAATTTATTTTTAATATCATTCATTGTCACAATGATTTCCACTTACTCTTCACGAACCCAATACTTTATTCTTCTCAGCGTTCTGCGCCCATAACCTGTTAATTTTCTTAGTAATTTAAATATACGCTCAGGTTCTTTATGTATTATTTATTCTCAGTATTACAACCTTTCATATTACATTAATGTCATACAAAACTTATTATATTTATTACTATCACTATAACTACTAATAATGAATTCGCCAACTCTCTTACAATATTATTTTTATATGAAGTCATTATTAATATATATTTCAATTTAAATTAAATATCGAATCGTCGCGAGATTTCGGTAACAAGAAGATGATTTATCAGTGCCGCGGCTTGCCATTTGTTCGTACAGAACGGCTACCGAAATACATGTATTTAATTGTGCCTGAACATAGAGATGATGGACAGGGTGACATTCCTTAGACCGCTCAACTTAGCCTAAACGGACAGTAACTACCCATTCTCAGTTCAATATCCAAAAGTAGAACCTCCATAACTAGATTTTTCTCGTAATTTCTAGTAATGTCTTCTGAATAAAACAAGCTATGTCAATTTTTTATAAGGGTTAATATTTTATTGTAGATATCAAGCTGAAGAAAGATTGTGGCAATGCAACAAACTTGGTTGTTATTTAGTGAGAGAGAGCGATCGAAAACCCGGGTCCTACGTGCTGTCTTATTTGGGAAGAACGGGAATGAACCATTTTAGGATAACGGCCGTTTGTGGCGATTTTTACATCGGGGGCCGACAATTTATTTCTCTTAATGATTTGGTGGGCTACTATACCGAATGCAGTGATTTACTGAAAAGAGAACGATTGGTGATTCCTGTGGCGCCCCCAGAACCAGTAAACGATAAAAAGGTAATCTTTTTTATTTTAAATAAATATATTTATTGCTTTAACCATTTTTAATTCTCACTTGATGTTTCAAGTTGAAATTTTATTTAACTTGGCTAATAAATAACCTTGTAAGGTTCTTTTTAATATAGTTTAATATTAATTCTAAAATTGTCATTTTCATTCATTGTCAAAGTTCAATAATTATAGATTTGTCATTGATGTTTACAAACGTGATTCAATTTTTCAATGAAAGTTTGCAATCACGGGATTTCTAAATTAACTTTAAGATTAATCTTTTGTTTATGTAAATTATTTTGTTTTTTTTTTAACTCATTATCTAAAATTATTTTTAAATTTGTCTACTGCTACTTTTATTAAAATAGTTCAGTATTGGTAGGTAGGTAATTTATTTTCGGAATTTATTTTTTGTTTTTATTTATTAGTGATTTGTGTTCTGTATAATTCTGTAAAAAAATACCATTGTAGATTTTGCAAAATTAAAAATTGTTAAATATTTTTTTAAGCTTTACTAATATGAAGAGTTTGTAAGGAGAAACCGAAAACCCAAATAAAGTTTTTTCATGTGAGTTGTTACTAAGATATTTGTTATTAAAATAAAATCAGTTCAGGTCCTAACTTAAGTGGTCCTATTATTTTGTAGAAATTGACTGCTATCTCATTTTGTGATTATGAATTAAGGTTGTTGCTTTCAACTGACATGTCTACAATGTCTTCAATTATTTGTTAAAATTTGAAATATAATATCTTAAATTTTTAATATCAAATATCTTAGTTTCAAAAACTCATGAAAAAACTTCATTTGAATTTTTGATTTCTTCTTACCAGCTCTTTATATTAAAGCTTTATATTTAAAACTTTTTAATTTTCAAAATCTGTATTTTTGCTTATCCTGTTCAAACAAATTGATGTTTCTTAACGCAAATCGTATTTATATAACAAGCAAAAGATATTATGAAATATGAATTTTCCTCGAAAAATTGAAAATAAATATTTTTACTACTTAAGTCCATCTGTGGACACACTGTATAGGTACCTAATATGTATTATATTATCAATAGTTTACCAACAACAATTAAAAAATATCTTCTTTTTAACTTGTTTACTATTATTGATACTACAAATTTTTAATAAACAATTTTAAAGAAAATGTTATGTACTATAAAGTTCACATTCTTTCCTATCATTATTAGTTTAGTTTAAAAATATAAAAAACGCGTAATTTTTAGAAATTTCTATTTTCCTTTGTTAAGTAAAATTTAAAGATAGAAACTTGACTTCATGAAATTTTTTTTAGAAAATTTAATGCTTTTTAAGAATAATCAGTCATTTATATAAAAAAAGTGGCTACTTAGAATGCAAGGAAAAAACACGAAAAACAATAATTTCCTGTGTTATTCCCAAGAGAAATTTTAAACCTTGATGATGCACCTCTTAAAATTAATTAAAATTACGGATTTTGATTTGGAAAACAAATATTTTGACGTTTTTTATGGAATTTTCATGTGAGAGCAAAAAAAAAACGATATCGCCTTTTTTGGAACAAATAATCTAAAATATTCGTCTATAAGTATATGTGGACAAATCAAAATGTATAAATTTAATTTTTATTTTAGAGGGTGGTTGCCATATTGCCTTACACCAAGATGCCTGACACCGATGAACTAACATTTAAGAAAGGTGATATATTTTTTGTACACAACGACATGGGCAACGGATGGATTTGGGTGACGGCCCATCGAACCGGCGAGCAGGGCATGATTTTTTGTGAGTTGGTCGACGATTTGGACGACAGCATCGATCCTAACACAGTCTTTCCATGGTTTCATCCAAACTGCACGAAAAACGAAGCCGTCGATCTGCTCGTTAAAGGTACTATAATAAAAATGTTATATTCTTAAATAATTAGTTTGTTTAAAAAATTATATTTCACTATTTGTAGTTTCACAACATTGCTTATAAACCCAATATCTGACGGTGCAAGTTTTCGCGGCGACCAGTTGCAGCGACTTTGTCACCTGTTGTTTACACGTAGAAAATACAGGGTGTCCATAACTAATGGACAATACAGCAACTGTAGAAATAGGAGGTCAAAATATGTCGATTAACACAAAAATGTCTTAGTAAAATGTGAGATCTGATTATTTTCAAAATTAGTTATAATTGGAAAACTATTCAATGTATCAAACTCAAAATTTGAACGCAATAGTTTTTAAGGACGACAAATACAAATTTGTCATAATTTTTTATGGTACTCCTAGAGGGCGCTAATGACACATGTCGAATTGGTTGAATCAATACTTACTTTTTAACGTCAATTCGACCTCTGTCATTGGCGCCCTCCCATAAAAAATGAAACATTTTTATTTTTTGTCCTTAAAAACTATACTGTACAAATTTTGAGTTTGATAAATTGAATTTTTTACAAATTTTCAAAAATCAGATCTCACATTTATCGCCCTGTATCTCGTTTATTATTAACATTTTACCAAGACATATTTGTGTTAATCGACCTATTTTGACCTCCTATTTCTACAATTGCTGTTTGGTTCATTTGTACAGTATTGTAAATAAAAAAACGCACAGATTATAAAGCTAAAAACTCAAATCACCAGATTAAACTCACATGTCGACAATGATCATTCCACAACTGATAAATATTGAGTATCATCCAAAATATTTAGTAAAAATTCTTAAATCCCTTAATAGTTACTAAGTCGCCGCGACTTTATTGCATTAAAATAGAACATTTTCTATTTTAGGACAAGTTAAATCAGCTGATTGGTTGCATTGTGAGACACCGTCAGGCATAGCCTTAAGTCGCTGGAGTCGTGCAATAAGTACTTTACGCTTAACACACAAAAAATATTTATATCTGCGAACTTGTTTTCTTAAAACAAAAAGCGTGAAAATAACCATTTTAGCTAAAGAATGAAACAAACTTTGTATTTAATTGTAACATAATGACCATGTCACAGTTCATCGAGTGACGCTTTATGCCTAATTGTTAATTACAATTTTTCTAAATAAGGAAAAAAAAAGTTTTTTCCTGTATAGGGTGTCCCGAAAATTTGGCACTAACGGTTTACCACTCTGTAGGTGGGGTTATTTTAAGTGTAAAACATACGAAAAAAAATGAGTAAGCAGGGCTTACAAATTAAATTATATTTTTTGTTATAATAGAAAATAACTTTTTCCATGACACTAAGTGACCTTTTAAATACACATTGACAAGTTGTGGCTTTATGGCGCTTTAGTCACGGGCTGAAGTTAGCAACAGTTTTTAGTCACGGGCTGAAGTTAGTTTTAAGTTAGTTGACAGTTGTCAAATGTCATACAATCGTTAAAATACAGTGCCTTTCTTGTAAAATAATACTAAATGTGAAAATTATTTTATTATCTCAATACAAAAATACAAAATTATTAAATAGTTCCTCAACGCCAATATTTGAAAAGTTTATATGAACATTGTACTGACCTTTTAATTTCGCCGGCAGTAAACTACACACACCGGCAAATTTAAAGGAACGTATAAAAATTTTGGTTTTTCTAGTTGTGCTGCAAAATTAGTTTTTTGTACTGTATTGTACGGCCTAGGCTTACATTTATTAGTAAATTTTTTATATATTTTGCAAATTTTGATCAAGTTAGTCCACGTCAAAATCGAAATTAACGTCAAACATCCCTTAGTTGTTGCATTAAGTGGGAAAGGTGTTCGTTAATTTCTGATAAAAGTTAGTTGTTTTTTCACAATCAATTGCTTACTGTTACTTGGTTGTGGCTTACTATAGTCACATTGACTGTAAAAAAGTCCACAATGTGTGATTTAGCACCGACTGATATCGCTAGGGCTGCAGCAATGATCGAAAATGGTCGATCTTACAGTGATGTTGCAGGGATGTTTGGAAAATTAAAATCGACGATCCATCGAAATGTTACACGTTGGAGGCAAACTGGGGAGTATATTAGAAGACGAGGTCAAGGCAGAAAACGCTCAACCACGGCTGTAGATGATCGGTTTATAACATTACAAACACTTCGAAATAGACGCCAGACGGCAATTCAAACAAGAAATGCACTGGAAGAGGTTCGTGGAACCAGAATAAGTGAGCGTACAGTTAGAAGAAGGTTAAAAGAAGTTGATATAAAGTCGTATAGGTCAAAAAAGCCCCAAAACTCCAGAGACGTCATCGAGTAGCTCGACTAGCGTTTGCTCGAGAACACCAAAATTGGAACGAAGATCAGTGGGGTCGAGTTTTGTTCACGGATGAGAGCCGTTTCTGCGTAAATTCGATCGATGGCAGGGAAATAGTGTATCGGCGTCCTGGAGAACAACATGAACAATTTAATTTTACTCCTACTGTCTCTTTTGGTGGAGGGTCAGTTATGGTGTGGGGTAGCATATGTTTAGGGGCCCGCACGGAGTTGGTGGTGATTGATGGCGGTGCATTAACTGCAGATAGGTACATAAGAGATGTTCTGCAAGATAATGTAGTACCATTTGCCCCATATATCGGAGAAAATTTTCTCCTAATGCAGGACAATGCTCGCCCGCACGTGGCTCATTGTGTAACTGACCAAATGGAAATACCGACAATGAATTGGCCAGCATGCTCCCCGGACTTAAATCCTATAGAACATGTATGGGACATGCTAGGCAGACGACTTAGATTAATAATTCCTTCTGTTCAAATAAAGAAGAGATAAAAGATGCTTTAATTGAAATATGGGAGAATTTACCTCAAGAAATGATCGACAACCTCATCAGAAGTATGGGAAGACGAATGACTGCAGTCATAAGAGCTCGTGGAGGAAACACATGTTATTGAAAACAATAATCCTTATTATTTTTCCTGATCATTAAATGTTTAAAACAAATTTAAATGTGCAATCCTTTTTTTTGCAAAAACGCAATTTTATGTCTTGAGTTTATAAATAGGCTTCAAAAGAATATAAAGCTTTGCAAAACAAGCTAAGCCATTAGTTAATATTTTTAAAGAGATTTCGTTTAAATTTATTCGGAGAAAAACAAGTTATGGGGAAAAAATAGAAATTTATCTCCGTTCCTTTAAATTTGCCGGTGTGTGTATAACTTAAATTCGGGCACGGGACTGTAAAGTCCTCATAAAACATTTTCTTTACTTTCACTATGAAAAACTGTCAATTTTCAAAAAATACATTTCGATTTATACCTTTATAATCTGTGTTTTTAAAATTTAAAAATGTGACATTTGACGGTGACACACATTCCCCTATTGTTTCATAGATGGCGCTCTATACAAATTTTTGATTTAAATCATTTTAGGAGAATAATAAGTATTTGTCGTAGAAAAAGTATAGTATGAACCTCGTTTATAAACTTTTCTATACACTCATTAATTTAAGCACTCGTTCGCAAGCTCGCTCGTGTCTAAATTAAATTCGTGTATAAAATAACTTGATACATAATATACTATTTTACACGTTTAAAAATACACGCGGTGCCATTTCTTAAACTTTTATGCTTTATAACCTGAAAAACTTGGAATCCCCCATATACATATATTCCCTGTAACAACAAATAAATTAATAAATTATCAATTACTTTATGTTTCGTTATTACTTTTGGTGCCCAAATTTCAAAACAAGACATCGAATTTGAAAGATACCGCATAGAATAGAAGTAAATTGACAGAATTTGTGACTCCACCTTAAGACCTCCAAAATTAAGTTGTTTTTCGTGAAAGCTTTAATCGTATGCGATTGACAAAACGGTTATGAAACTATTGGAAACTATAGCAAGTTAAAATATCGATATTATTCGATAGCCAAAACTAGCCATAGTTTTCAACATCTATGTAATACCGCTATAGCGCCATTTACGGGACACCCTATAGGTATACCTATAGGTACATAGCCACATACGTTTTTATATTTGAAATAACTCAAAATGACACTGCGCCGCAATTAAAGTGTGTGCTGGTGATGAAGGTCATCCTTTGGAAAATCAGTTGGCATGGATTTCGTTCTTTGCGCAAGTCTATAACTAAAACATCAATTCTTTAATAGCCGCGCGAAGATTTTTCTTGGCTCATTATGCCACATTAAACCAGAAAACAGCTGCGCTGCATTTGTCAAAATTTATTGTTTTGATTCATTTTTAAAAAGCGCAGCTGAACTTTTTCGAATCATATGGCGCGGATGACTCAAACACCCTCTTGCTCGGCGTTGCGTTACCTCAAGTTTTTTCACCCAACTCCTAATTAATTTCACTGATGGAGCCATGATGAGTGGAGAAAAATCCCCGCGCAGCGATCAAAGAATTGTTTTTGTAAAAGGCTATCAAGCAAAAAACGCCAAAGCATGACCTTCACCACAAGCACACACTTTTAAATGCGGCGCAGTCTCATTTCGAGTTATTCCAATTTAAAACGAAATTTGCATGTGTTTGGCATACTTATAATTATAATTTAAATTAATTTTTAGCTGGTCCCGGTAGTTTTCTTGTAAGACCTAGTGATAATTCACCAGGGGATTATTCGTTGTTTTTCCACATTAACAACCAAATTCAACGATTCAGAATCGAAAAAAAAGGAGTAAGATACCTGATGGGTGGTCGAATTTTTGAATGTTTGGACGCAGTTATCAATAGATACCGTAAGGAACAAATCGTGGAGGGACATACTTTACAACATCCAGTAAGTTAAATTACTTTTTTCTACTCCCACCTTTAAAACGTCCATTATCATACATGTTTCCATGTGACCTTTTAAATACACATTGACAAGTTGTAGCCTTATGGCGTTTTAGTCAAGGGCTGAAGTTAGCAACAGGTTTTTACTCACGGGCTGAAGTTTATATGAACATTTTACAGACCTTAAACTACATTAACTTCATTTCGGGTAAAGACTCCACTGTAGAGTGCCAATAAAACATTTTCTTTACTTTCACTGTGAAAAACTCTTTCTATATCCGATTAAACGGTCCATTTTCAAGGGATACATTTTGATTTACACATACAAATTTGACATTTGACATAATACACATTTTCAAGTTGGTAATTCTATTGTTTCATGGATGTCGCTCTATACAAATATTAAATTTAAATAATTTTTAGATAATAAGTGTTTGTCGTAGAAAAAGTATAGTATGCAACTCGTTTATAAACTTTTCTAAGCACTCATTTAAGGGGTTACATACATATGAGCTCGTAAAAATTAACGGTTTTTGGTGATTTTTTTTGGTGTATAATAATAATTATAATGAAACAGCATCAAATAGGATATGTTTCGAAGTATTCGTAAAAAAAATTGTATGCGAAAATATGGAAAAGTGTTGTGGCCCTTGCCCGAAAAACCTTTTTTTTCAAGCGGTTGCGATGAGCATAAAATATCGAAAACCTCTCAACAGAACTTAACGAAAAAAAAAACAATATTAGTACATAGTATTACCCCTTTGTGAACGAATGGTTTTGCAAAAAAAAATGTTCACTTATAATACCACAAGAGCTTCAAAATTATCGGGTATTTTTCCCGATAGGTTCGTTGCAAACAAATGAAGGAGTCAAGTTTTTCAGGTTAAAAAATCACGAGCGCGAAGCGCGAGTGATTTTTCCTGAAAAACTTGACGACTTTATTTGTTTGCAGGGAACCTTGAGGGAAATGCCAGATAATTTTGAAGCTCGTGTGGTATTCGGGGGATTATTTTTTTTTAGAATTGCACCATGAGACGAAATGTACAGTTAACAAATAAGAATTTCATAATGAATAAAACAACATTTAATTAAGATTTAATTTGTTTTTTATATATAGCAACTACCAGAGAAAATTTTCAAAAAATTATCGCTGTAATTCGCTGTAGGTTCCCTCAACAACAATGCCTCAACAATGTCCCAACAATACAGAGAACTGTCAAAAAAAATAATCAAGAAAATGGCGGTGATTTTCAAGGGTACACAAATTTGGTTTTCCGGCCGAAAAAAATAGAATTTTCGGCCAAATGAAAATCATTCACAAAGGAGCTATTGTAATTAGGAACAACACTTTCAAATTTCAGATCGATCGGTAAATTGGTTTTCGAGAAATCGTGCTCACGGAAACGGCACTTTTAAAAAAATACGATTCCGAGATAAACGCGTTTAAAGTTTTAAGTTAATTTAATTTGCCTTTAAATGTTCATGAGGTAGCGCGCTATAAATTGCTATATCATAAGTTCTAGTGCTCCGATCTTGATGAAATTTTAAACACATATTCTTAAAAGTACATGTTGTAAGAATATTTAATAAAAAAATGACCTAGCTCAAAGGTATGTAACCCCTTAATTAAGCACACTAAATTAAATTCGTGTCGAAAATGGCAAACTTGATACATAATAAACTATTATAACTTGCGCGATATTTAATAACCATTTTGATATTGCAGCTCGTTGTTGATGGTAGCACCCAATTGGACTGGGTTCCTGAGAATCAAAAAGCCAAATCCGAGGCGGAAAAGATTTACGCTACATTGAGAGAATGTCGCGACCAAGCGGGCTTAAAGAAAATGCGCGGTATCAAGCACCAGGGCTATTTGCACCGAAAATCCGACAAGGCCGCCAAAAAATGGAAGTTGTTGTACTTTGTCCTCTTGGTAGACGGCACAGATACCCATTTGTATTTGTACGAGAATCCGAAGAGAACCAAACCTAAGGGCCTCATCGACCTGTCCTGCGCCTATCTCTACCAAGTCCACGATAGTTTGTGGGAGAAGTCTTATTGCTTGCAGCTGGTAGAGCGAGCGCTGCCTTGTCTGGCGACGGTCACTCACCTAGCGGCTCGGTCGCACGAGGAATGTCAAGAGTGGGTGAACGCGTTGAAGCCGCTGTGCGTGCCGCAGCTGAGCAGGGCCACCTGCAAGGTGCCGAGGCTGCGCGACCTGCGCTGCCTCACGTTGCACGTCCTCGACGCGCACCGTTTACCATTCAAGTTGGTTCCGACGCCCTACGTCACCATACAACTCAACAATCAGGTCCGTATCGCCAGAACTAGGACAAAGTCTGGACCTGATCCTGTTTGGGACGAAGAATTCATCTTTGAGTAAGAATAGATTTAGTTTCAAAATGCATTACATCCATAATATGCACTACTAGACTGTGCGACTATTTCGCCTCAATACAGGGGTGATTTAAATTAAAAAAATACATTAGAAAAAGCCAAAGGGAACAGCCGGACAATCGAAAAAATCGAAATTTAAATTATCATTCATTTTTGTTCTCCTCAATACAGGGGTGGTTTTGAACAAAAAAAAACATTAGGAAAAACCGAAAGGAACAGCCAGAAAATCGAAATTTGTGAAACTGGATTAATTTGAATAGATGCGTTCGTAGCTGTGATTCAAATTAAATAACTATTAAATTTGTAAATGGCTCAACCGATTTAAATAAAAAATACATTAGGAAAAACCAAAAGGAACAGCCGGAAAAAAAGGGTTAAAGGTTTCATCACAATGGGGCACTACCACATTTTATTCCCGAATCTTGGACGAACAGTATCCTTTTACCCTCTGGGGACACGTTAAAAACTTTATTTATAGTTTTTTTTCCACGCTTACTCCCAAAATGGTCAGTGCGTCAAAATCCACCATTTTAAGAAGGGCGCGGATTTCTTTACAAATAAATTATCATCGTTTTTTTCTGGTTAAATTTACCAGTTTTAATTTTCTTAGTTTACCTTTTCGGAAATTTATATAGTTTTTAATGTCATCAATTTTATTTATTGCCAATGAAGGAAAGTTGTTTAAAGATTTGAAACGCATCTGCATTGTTCTCTAAGTTGTCTAAGAATGTGGGTTTCATAGTAATCGAGGTTTAAACAACAATGCAAAGATAAAAATGCTGCGTTTTAAATATCTCCTTCAAAAATCAGGTTTTTGGACTTGCCCTACTTTGGTTCTGGGGTACAGAACAAGTTTCATTTTTACTTTAAAACATTGGCGTCCTGAAGTATGGCAGTCATTTTTGAAAGGTTTTATCAACTAAGTAAACACAGTCGGCCAAAAGATTTTTAGTCAAACATGTTCTATCATCTAATAGCAATTTTAAAAGCTCCTACGTTTAACCTAGGCGAAAGCTCTCGGTATTGGCTGCCGCTTTTTTGCTCTCATTCGATTACACTTTTACCAAGAAGTGTTTTATTTTTATATTTGGCATTTCCATTGCTATCGGCACACTTCCTTTTTTATCTGTATAGCTATTCTTCAAATAGTGCCACAAGCAATCGTTAAAAAACATTCAACGGTTTAGTTTTAATAGCAATTTCAAAAAGAAACAGTAAGATGTCCCACCCTTTAAAATGGATTTAATATGTTTTGGTCTCCTCCATAATTCTATTTGCTCTGTGATTTTTACGCGTGTATTTTTCAGTGATGTGCCATGTGATATTGTATCGTTCACTTTGACTGTACATAACAAGGGCAAACGCGGCAAGGAGACGGAAGTTGCGGAATTACACGTGGAGTTGTCGTCATTGGGTAACGGGGAAGAAAGAGAAGAATGGTACACGCTCTCCGGTTTAACGCCTATGGGCGAATGGGGTTCCCTTAGATTAAGAACAAGGTAACTATTATTTAAATAATAGTCAGTTATACAACACAAATAATTTATTTGCAGATATTTGCACGACTTGGTTATGCCTGCCGAAGAATACAGTCCTTTGCAACAGCTGTTGTTGGAACCGGGACTGACATCAGTGAAAACGTTAGCAGAAATATGCCATAATGACAGAGCGCCCTTAGCAACTGCCCTGTTGCGCGTTTTCCGGGCAGAGGGACGAGAAACTGAACTACTCCGAGAACTAAACTCTGCAGAGGTGGATTTTTTAAAATCAATAAATTCATAACAGAATACATAATATTTGTTTAGATTGCCAGAGAAACGGAAACGTCCACTTTATTCCGGGCTGCTTCTTTGGCCACGACTCTGATGGATTTGTACATGAAAGCCGAGTGTAGCGGTTTTTTGCAAGCTGCCGTTCTAGAAATCGTTTTGCGCTTATTGGAGAGCAAGCAGAGCGCAGAATTAAATCCTGCTAAAATGGAATCTTTGGACGATGCCTGTAACAATGCAGAGTTCCTCTTGCAAATTCTCGATCAAGTAAATTCACCCACCCACATAATCTGTTGCGTTTTTATTAAATAAATTTTTTCAAGGTAACTTTGAGCATATTCATGTCGCCGGAAGCGTGCCCGAGATCGGTGCGATACATTTGCGGGTGTTTGCAAAAAGCGGTGATCGCGAAGTGGCCCGACGAGAGGTTCGTGCGCACCCGTGTGGTGTCGGGCTTTATATTTTTGCGTTTGCTGTGTCCGGCCCTTTTGAATCCCCGCCAATTCGGCCTCGTCAGCGAACAACCGTCGCCCGCTGCCACCAGAAGTCTCGTCATGGTTGCCAAGTGTCTGCAGAACCTGGCCAATCTGATCGAATTCGGCGGAAAGGTAACAAAAGTTTTTTAGTCTAGAAAACTAGCATTTTCGTTGTGATTATATGATATCCGAAAACCCTTGATTTAGTTATAACTCATTTCCAGATAGTATAATATAAAATGTCAAAAGCCATTTTGATACAGGTTGCCCAACAACTTTTCCAGGGTAACTGATATATAATTTTGCTCAATTAGCGTTTGTTTTTGAGATATTGTAAAAAAATCTTTTTTTCAATATGCAAACATTCAAATTCGTATTGTTGCTCAGGCAGGCTTGAGAACAGTTCCAAAAATCAATAACACAAAAACCACAAACAGATCTCTCGCATATTGGCGCCAAACTTTGATAAATTAAACGTGCCTACTATATGATCTACTGCAGTTGCTACTTTCGACCGCACTCCAAAGCGCCGAATTAATTTTATCTAGATAAAATTAATTATATAATTTTATCTAGATAAAATTAATTATATAATTTTATCTAGATAAAATTAATTCTAAAATTTTTATTTTTATTATAGTATAGTAATAATTTTAATTACATAATAAAAATTCAGTGCATTAATTTTATGTGTACACATAAAATTAATTGTATCATTTTTATTAGAATTAAAATTTGCGTAGACATAAAATTAATTATGGCACGCCGTTTTACTTTTTAATTGTATAAGAAATATTAAGTTAAATATTAATGTGTCACAAAAATATTGCAGACAGAAAAATTACATTAAATAAATAATTCAACATCTTATATAAACATATTTAAAAAAAGAATAACTTCTTTGACATGTATAATTCTAATTAATGTATTATTTTGAAGGTATTATTTTTCAGTGCAATTTATTTTTAAAGTATTAATATTTAACTTAATATTTTTTATCCGATTAAAAAGTGAAACGGCGTGCCATAAAGGGGTTGTTTTTGACATTTTGTTACAAAAATAATTATTCCACCGCTTAGTTTACTTTAAACACTATAAACACTTTGGCAGTAGGTACTCTATTTTAAAATTCAAACACATCCAAAATAAAGCACAAATTAACATAACACGACACAACATAAATAACAGTTTGGACCTGCAGAAACGCGCGACGATGATAGCGCAACACGTGCATTTAGCAATATGGAGGATTTTCCAAGCGAAACAGTACGAACCACGACGAAAAGGCCGATATATCGGTATAACCACTTTTGAAATATCGGTATCGGCCGATTATCGTTATCGGCTAAAATTTGTATATCGGTCGATCTCTATTAAAATAAAATTTACAATTTTTTTTAGCTTTACTTATTTACTTTATTGTGTTAAAATGTTAAAGCAATTAAGCATCTTAAATATAAATTTTGATACGCGCGGTTTTTGAGTGCCATTTTGTCAATTTTTAATTGATTGCGTTAAAATTGTAACATAATAAAGAAGATAAAAGAAGCTATACAATTTTGTGAAATACATTTAAGGTTGTCCTGGAGTGAGTGTCGAATGATCAGAATTTGACAAAAATTTAAAAGTAAATTATTTATGATGCTTCACATCATCCTGTTTAATTTAATAAAAATTCTTGTCGTTGGGAGCCGAGTAAATACATTTCAAAGTTGAGTAAAAATACACGGGTTCTTATGGCAGCACGTGGATTGTTGTTTTCTCCTCCGAAATAAATATTGGTAATGATAGGATTGCAATGAAAAATGAGTATATCGTGGAGCGTAATTTTAAAACATGATACGCGAAGTTTCATAATGAACATGTTGGTAGGAAAAAAGTTTTATTGGATTAAATCGATGAATTCACGAAATTTGACGCTTGCACTTGCGATTCATGGCAACGTCGTTGACGTCAGATAGGAACGCTTTCGCCCGGTGCTACATAGGTGTGAGTGAGAACGTATGTAGCAAGCGTAAGAATAAAAGAGACAGCGAATGCGACGTTCCCAAGCGTTGCGACTGTTATTGGCGAAATTTTTAAAAGCGATGTTATAGATTTTTATTCTTTCACATACACTATAACAACGCCTCATGAACTGACAATGCAATGCAAAATAATAAAAAAATCGCCTATAAATAAAATGTATACCTACTCATATAAATTTTGGTTGCAAGTAGTTGGCAACGGATTTTAAATCTAATGCTCAAGGATAGGACACAGTTCTACCACGATCGAAACACTAAAATTCATGCCCGAACAACCTTAAATCGTTTGAATCTTGAACTTGTTGTCAACTTTTGCCAAAAAAGCGATTGTTTTTAATTTATGTATCTGTATAATTTATTGTTTTTTACTTAAAATAGAACTCGTAGCTACATGACCAATTACCCTTGTTTAAAGTATTTGATTAAAATATATACCTACTGTACTTTTATTTTACATGTAGAAAGGCCATTCGGTTTTTAAGAGTGGGAGAATAATTTATAAGAGTGGGAGACGCCGAGAGACGGTTTTTGAAATTCAGCAGTAGACCCTTCACCGGCGTTGGGCGATAGTCGAAGGTTGCTCTGGATTATTAATACGAATTACGCATTATTAAGTTAATTTACTTTTAAAAATGATACTTAAAATGTAACGTAATCACGAGCGTAATCACTTCTAACAGTAAATTATTAATTAAAGGTGTAAAATAATTATTTGTTTTGCATTTAACTGAAAGTATTTTCTTATAAAAAAAAACGTTAAAAACATACAAATTTCCCTTTAAAAACTAAAATAAAAAAATAAAATAATTCTCTTGAAAACAAATTAAAATAAATAAATTGACGGAATATAAGGATCCGAATATTTAACTGAGAATAGGCCTCTTGTTTTACGTAGCCTACATCGCCCCAGGAGGAATTTTCGGACATCTGTTTATAGCAACTTTGTTTATTATTTTTACGTGTAGAACCCCCGAAATATGTTAACGTTATTTTCTGACACCCTGTATAGAATCTTACACTTGATGGCCTAGTCTCAAACGGGGAAACATTAAATGTTTCAACTCATTTTTACACTCAACCATACAATACAATTTCATTCAAGTGTAACAATCTAAAAAATTATGGCTTTTTAAATATTGCCTAAACAGTTTTACGTCTTTGGATCGATATTCTCTTCACACAACACATAAATATTATTTATAAATGTATGAATATGTTTATTTGTTTGCATCCAATAACCTGACAAAAGTGTGCTGGCGTGGGTCAGCGATTTAGCTGCAAATATTTTCTTCAAAAGTTCTAAAAGAATGTGACTCCAAATTTGACCTCATACCAAAAAATTCGGCAGGTATAGTAAAAAATTTTAAAAAGTTGATTTTTTAATTATTTTTAAAATGTTATGGCTTAGCTACCATATAAAAAATCGGATTTTTCTCTGCTAACCTAATATTTAAAAAAAAATGATTTTCTAAACTTAGCGGCTGGGCTCTAGCTATTCTGAACCCAGGGGTTGTTGTAGCGAAATTTCGCATATTTTTGAAAAATACAGTTTGTGAAGTATAGAGCTGGTTGACGGCTCAAATTTTTAGTCTAGGTAGGTATATTCTGTTGATGTATACCCTAATTTTTATTGATTGCCCCTATTTATTAAATATGTAACCAAAGAAAGCCGATCGGTTTTTGAAAAATCGCTGTTTTCAGATAGCTACAACTTTTTTCTATGAACTCTAAATTGCTTGAAATTTTTAGTGAATATACTTTATTCTATTCTCTAACAAGTTGTTAGTATCAACCCTGAATTTTTTTATTTTTGAATAAAAGTGGTTTACAAGCTGTAAATTTTAAGAACTGTCCAATTTTTTACATTTTTGCGCCGGAAGTATTAAAACTTGCTTCTTACCAGTCAGTTAAATTGGGAAACATTATTTTTATACCCTTATCTGCCAAAAAAAGGTAAATTGTGATAAAATGATTTACATTTAACCAAATAACCTTTTTTAAGGGATAATACCAATAAAACACTGACTTAATTTTCTGTAGTTAATTATATTTGGATTTTGTTATTTATCTATTTGAATGGTGCCACAAAGAACTGTCCAATTTTTTACATTTTTGAAGTATACTTCTAAGCTTTTCCTGCATCTATAGATGCAGGAAAAGCAGCCAATCCACCTATCGACTCTTAATGGAATTCTTGGAAAAATCTCTTGTCTGTCTGTAGTCTGTCCGTCAACTTTTTCGAACCACTGTAACTTTAAAACCGATAGCGGTGAAATCTTGAAAATTATATCCGTTTTTCGTGCCCCCGAGACCCACCATTTAACCAATTGATATCGCTTAAAAAGGGAACAAGTGAATATTTTTCGACCAAATTTGGAAAAACTTTGCTTTGGGGCCGTGATTATTTAATCCTTTTAGTATCCCTAAAAAACTTGCATTTTAAATTGAATTGCAAATTTAACACCAAAACGCAAAATTATTATTATCTATTATAATAGATAAGAAGGGAAAAACCACAATCCACACAACAAGGTCTGTTCTATCTCGTACTAAAAATACAAAAAATCACTGCAACACTGCACAGTTTAACGGCGGCCATTTTTGTTGTTTACAATTTTTGTGCTTTGGGTTTGTGCTCTGTTTATACAGATTAAGAATCGTTTTAAACGTTGTGTTTCTCATAGTAAGCCTTAAAAGAGTCCTTAAAGTGCTAAGAACAACCATTTTACTCCTCTATTGTAAAAAATAAACTATCAGGTCTGCCATAAAACTGTCAAATGTCAATTTTAAGGTTAAATTATAACCTTCAAATTGTCATTTGACAGCCCTGATAGAATAAGGTATATTTATTATAAAAGAGGAGTAATATGGTTGTCCTTAGCCCTTAAAGGCCTTATTTGAGGCTTACAAGTGCCTCTGTAAGAAACACAACGTTTAAAACAATTATTAAACAGCACAAACCCAAAGCACAAGAATTGTAAACAACAAAAATGGCCGCCGTTAAACTCTGTGCAGTGTTGCAGTGATTTTTATTATTTTTAGCATGAGATAGAACAGACCTTTTTGTGTGGATTGTGGGAAAAACAATGTAGTTTGACATACTAGAAGATAATAATTATAATTACAATTATTGTCATTGAATTAAAACGAAATGGTCAATTCATTTTTTTTCGCATTGCTTAAAATTATTTAAGAAAATCCCCAAAAACAAATCAAATACAGAGAGACCAAACAAAATATTAAGTTATAATGCTAAGTTGACAAAATTTTTTATGGAGAGTGAAACTACTGGAAGGATTTATACTGTGTTAATATTAATACTAAAATTACAATTTATTCCTTGGGGGCGCAAATAAATTTTAAAAAAGTTGATATACATGTCAAAATAAAATAATTGTAGATATCAACATTTGAGGTGCTTCCGTGCAAAACCGGCTATATCCACTTTGATAAAATGTTGGAAAAATGGCAAAAACTCTCGGTTTCCTGGCCTTTACAGATAAAAAAAGCAAATTTGAGTTTTGTGGTACTTGATTTATAAGACATACTTTCGTTTTCAAAAACTTTATATTAAGGCCAAAATTTCAAAAAATGTTTTGCTCAAAACCTATGAATAAAATGTGAAAACAAAACCTTTATTATTCAAAAATATTAACAAAATAAATTTAGTGAAAACATGAAAAAACCGAGGAAAAAACAGAACAAATTTTAGCAGTAGTATCGACATATCCAAGCCACATGCTCATCATCATTATTATTTATTGGATAAAGCCGGGTTTGCTACAAAAACGTGTATTTGGCCGGTTTTGCTCCTAAAGCTACCTTTGAAATGTGATTTTAACATGGATATAGTCGGATTTAAACAGAATTATCTTGGTTGTCGATAGAAATGAACCCAAAGATGCGAAATCAAAAAAAAAAAACAAAAACTGAATAAAATGGATTTAGCCGGTTTTGAACGGATGCTCCTCATTTGTTCTTTACATTAATTTTTATCAATTATTTATGAAATTATTATGGTATCAGAAAAAATAATGTATGCAACTTAAATATAAAGACACATTTTGAGGTTATATGTCGCCTCCGGATCGTTATAAAAGTTCCTTAAACGTGCAAAAAAGTCGCTTTATATTCTTGTTGCATAAATTACTATTGTGCTGATTTTCCGAATTCTGGCCCATATTACAAAATATTTTTGCCATGCTTTGCTTTTGGATTGTAGCATCATTTTTAATGTTGTTATAAATATTTAAGGAGCCTTACATGGAAGTCGTAAACCCGTTCATTCTGAAAAACAAAGAACGGATGGTGGTATTTTTGGATCAACTGTCGATGATCGGCGACCCGGGCGAGCCCCGGATCACCAGCAAACCCGACACTGCCAAGGAGTTGGCAACGTTGCATCACATATGCGTGGCGCACGTTGCCGAGCTGCAGGCGGTCGCCAAAGTCAACGGAAACATCAAAACTCTGGTAACGGTCACCGATATGCTGGCCAAGCACAAGCAAAAATACATGGAAATGATCAGATGATCTGACTAAGTCAATTGATTGGATCGTACGTACAGGGTACACACGTCAAGCAAAATAAAATTCGACAACAAAACTAAGTCATAAACTTATTGTTTAGTTTAGGTATTACTTTATATTTGTAGAGGTTATTCTGTACGATATTGAGTTGTGAATTTACATTCATACATATGCAAACTCAGGAGAAGGAAGTGCACACCATCTTTTGTGACATTTTGTAATTCTAAATGGTATTTTTTTCAAAATTTATGTGCCACCAATATGACAATTACAAAACATTGGTGTCCCAAAATATAACTTTTTGATAGAGTTTATATTTAGTTATTTTTAAAGATTACAAATTAAATGTGTGGACTGAAACAAATTCTAAATGCTCACAAAAATACCAAATTATCATTGTAATTTTTATTTTGTAGTTTAATAATTATTAAGTGAATGGTCACAAATCAAAACTTTATTGTCCCAAGGACTTTGTTTTTCTCCTATATTCCTTTTATTAAAAGACTGTTTAAAATATAATTCTAAGTCATTAAAAATCACCCTAACAATTATTATAGATCTATTTTCCAACAGTCATTTTGTTTATTTTATTTATTCATCGTCATATATTAGTTATGGTGCTAAAATTTAGTTGTTTAGAAACTTCATCTATAATTTCTATTAAAAGTCGTATATTCCACTTTTAAATTAACAGTAGCTTGCCTCTATAAAGCATAAATAAATAAACCATTGTCTACGGTATTAAAACTTGCTTCTTAGCAGTCAGTTAAATTGGAAAACATTATTTTTATACCCTCATTTTCTAAAAAGGTAAATTGTAATAAAATGTTTTTCATTTAACCAAATAACCTTTTTTTAAGGGATAATACCAATAAAACACTGACTCAATTTTCTGTAGTTTATTATATTTGGATTTTGTTATTTATCTATTTAAATGGTGCCACAACTTGGAGATAAAAAAAAGTATTTTTCCAAATTGCAGAACCAAATATTTTGGATGCTCTTTACTTTCCAAAAATGTACCAATCCCATTTTTATAACTTTATTTTCTTTTTATAATATTAGATACTTATTTTATTATTATTTATAAGCATGTACTTTTATATTAAACAATATATTCAAGTAAAATATGTTTTATTAATTTTAAACCAGCAAGCTATTTTTTGAAACAACAATCATGTATCAAATATCAAGATTATCTTCATACATTATAATTATTTAAGTGAAATGATGCTCAGTAAAAGCTATATAATAAGCAGACCCTCATGGTTCCAACATATGGACAAACATATGTTTGTCCGCTTATAGGTAACGTTTTTGTTTTAAAATATTATAAAATTCAACCATGTAAAAAAAATTCAATTCAATTTAATTATTTAAATAAAAACACTTTCCTTTTACTCAATCTGAACCACATAAGAAAAACATCATTAATCATTAATTTTTGCAGGAATATGGAAGCATTTCCTGCCTTTAATGGGCTACATACATAAGGTTTCTATAACATTCCTTATATATACCTAAACTCAATAGTTTTCGAGTTGCGCCTTTAACAAAAATATCCTGTAACTTCTTTGTTATTAGGTCTATTGGTATGCGGTTTGGATTTTTGGAATCTTGAAACATTCCCGGACAACATTCGTGATATTCATACGAACATCATGTCGTGATTTTCACAAATTTTATTCATACTGATATCATACGGAAGTCACCGCGTGATAAATGAAAATCATACGAACGTCACGTCGTGATTTTCACCAATTTTATTCATACGGACATCATCCGGATGTCACTGCGTGAGAAATGAAAATCATGTCATGATTTTTTATGCCATCGCTGTTTGCGACTGACCGATGCGATGACGTTCGTATGATTTTCATTTATCACGCGGTGACTTCCGTATGATATCAGTATGAATAAAATTTGTTAAAATCACGACATGATGTTCGTATGAATTTCAAGAATGTTGTCCGGGTTCAATTAAAAAAGATATTCCAATGTTTAACAAAACGTTCACGTTTTTAACTTAGCTTAAAAACAGGTTTGCTTATTACTTTCGTCAAAATCGTGCTTTCAAATACGCACACAAAAAAGGGCTAAACCAACAAGCACCTCACTAAGACCCATATATTGGCAAACTATTTTTATAATTATAAAATCGCATTATGAATTTTAGTTCGTCACAAGCTAAATAGATGTCTATCGCGGTTTTTAACGAAAATACTGTCAACCTGCCAAGGGTCTATCACAAGAATCTTTTCTTTTGCTTCTTTTTATATATATAATATTGAGAAAACACATACCAAAGTAATTAATTACCTCAGCTATAAAAAAAAACTGGTGTTTATTTATGTCTGCTCTTGATGCCTGTTAAAGTAAATTATGCTGTCCAGAAAAGTTGTTCGGTTTTGGGAGTATTTTGTTTAGGGGAGGTCCATAAAGGACGTGACGCTTTTTTGGTGGATTTTTGACACCCCTCTCTACTTGTCACAATTGGTCCCCCTATGTCAAATCACAAATTAATTAAAACTAATATGTACCTATACAAAAATATTTAATTTTGGAAAATATCAAAATAACGAATATTAAAAATTGTCCGGTTTGGGAAATTGCCGTTTAGGTTGTCCATGAGGTATGTCACGATTTTTAAGGAAATTTTTTACCCGCCCTCCCCATTGTCAAATGGCTACATTTTGCTAGATTCATCCCCTCTAGGGCATGACTTCCTTCATCAAGACTGTCTGCAAAGGGAGCTTTTAGCAGTGTGATTGGTTCCTTAATAAAGAAATAAAATGATAAATAATAATCTATTAACATCATAATAAAAAACTTTATATAATTAATAATTAATTAAAAAATAGAATAGAAAATGCCATAAGTAAACAACTTGCTGCAATCCATGGAGATTTTCTTTCGCCAATTCTTGCACATTTCCAAAAAGTGCCCATTACTCTAAAAAAATTGGGAACTATGAACAAATAAAACATTATAAAAAACAAAATGTATTTTTAATTAGTATTAGGTAAGTTGTGGTTCATTGGTAAATGACTTATGCTTACAATTCTCAAATGACTAAATGATTAAAATGTATTAACAAAATAAAAATTGCAAAAAACATGCAAGCATACCAGGTTTATTTTTATTATTTACTACAATAAATCACTCCCACCCATTTACACAGCAAACGGTAAAATATGGAATTGTATAGGATGACTCCCCGTTCGAATACTAAATTTTAAAGTTTTATCAGAACTGTATTGAATCATGCTTTGTTTTTATATTTTTTGTAGCATCTACGAACAAATGAATTAATGGCCCATTGGCAATTATTCCTTTAGAAAAAATATTCAACACAGCTTAATTAATTAATAAAATGAAAAAAATCACAATCATGTCGTGTATAGTTTTATTTTTCAAGCATAAAATAATTTTCATATTAATACTAGTGCAAAAGTCAAATTACGACCTCTATACTATCCACTTCTATATTTTTCCGTTTGCTGTGTAGAACTATTGAATTATTGTTTAGAAAAATCAGTGATTTAATATTATGCCTGTATAAGTATAAACAGTAATTCGATTCTGCGCGTGCAAAAGGTAAAAAGTCAAAAAAAGTGTAAAATTAGATAATTTTAAATTCTTAGTGCTCCCTCTGCTATATCCTTTTTCTATGTCTTCTGTCTAAGGTTAAGGATAAGGATGCAACTCAACATCAATTCAAAATACCTTTACAATATTTTTATTCAACAGATATTGTCCAAAACTATTATCATATTTTGAATATTTAACTATAATTGAATAAGTGTAACTTTTTTAGTTTCAGTTATCCAGTTATTTAGCCCTTATAAAATACAATTTTTTACTGAATTAATGTGTTTAAATAATTAATAAAGATCAATTTCGGATATCCCCAATTATTAGACTCAAATATTTCTTTTAACTTTACTTACCCGACTTTCTTTTTATCCATTAAACTGGGTACTATGCCTCTTAAGTACGTACATGTACAAATTAACAGCAAAATAACAGTTAATAAACTTTGGAAGTTGAAGATTGCTGACTAAAATTATACAGATTATCCGAAATACCCTTAAACCCTACACAAAACTTACCATTTTAATAGATATCTCAAATAAACCCCAAATAAAATTTAAATTGCTAAATAATTTCACATATCGACGTCATCTGTCAAATGTTGAATAGTAGTTCTAAATGTGGTGCAAATCTTCTGTATGCTACTTTGGAACTACTTAACAATTTTTTTAAATTTTTTATACTTATAACATTTATTAGATTAAATTAAATTAAATATTTTCAGTTTTTTAAAGAACTTGGAAGAAAAGAACGTGGGGGTAGAAATAGTGAAACTGAAATTTTGCCAAGCATGGCAACGCTGCATTAAATCCCTGCAGTGTGGTTGTGGTGCGTCGAAATTAGACGAAGAAGAAGAACATATTTCTCCTTTAAGTTTTGACATTTTGTTGGTTGATTCACCACATTAACATTGTTTACGTTTTTCCAATTATAAACTCCCATTTTAGTAATTAGTAACTGGTAAATTCTCTTAGACAAAGATGGACCCAAATAGCGATGATGGTAAGATAAAATAAGTTTATAAAATTAGCTTGACCCAAAAATAATTGTTGTAGAAAGTGGAAACACAAAATCTTCAAAGCAAAGCAACGTTCTACCTTTGTGGGGAAATGAAAGAACAATGAATTTAAACCCCCTTATATTAACGAATATTCAAAGCTCCCACTATTTTAAAGGTAGGTAAACTTTAGGCAGTACTTATAAAGAACTTTTTAAAGTAGAATTTCTTTAAAGAACCTAAGGGTTTCATATATATTTTTGTCATTCCTCTTGGAAAATAATATTAGTAAGTGCATGTTGTCCATACACTGCATGGAAATAAATTTATGTACCTATTTATATGTATAGGTGACCACTCAAAAAAGAGTATTCACCGAGGTATTAACATAATAGTATATTATTATCAGAGCTGTCAGAAAAAAGTATCTTAGTTACTTTAGTGTAACTTAGTTACTTTAAAGTATCTAAGTTACTGTATCTTAGTTCCTTTATTTTTTTAACAAAAAGTATCTAGTATCTTAGATACTTTTTAAAAGGAACTGTATCTTGTAACTTAAAAAAAGTATCTTAGATACCGAAAAGTATCTTAGATACCAAAAAGTAACTTAGATACCAAAAAGTATCTAAGATACCACAAGAAAAGTTCCTTTAGTCAAGTTGTTCGAAACGGCCGCGGCCATCGAAGTTATTATAATAAGTATACTGGCGACTTCAGCGACTGGCGCAAATCGACTGGCGGCGATTTTTGTTATACCTACTTAATTTTTATTCACCTATACTTCTTTTATAATCTGTGACTTCGCCATCCGCTCTGTAGAAGGGTGTTTCCGTTCGTTGCGACTTGAATTTATAATGGTAAGACTGAAATAAGTTAGGTTAGGTAAGTACTTGCACTTGCTTCTTTATGATGTACTGATGTAGGATATTGGTTGTTACATTGTACCGTACATTCTATAATGTTCAATGTATGTTTTCCATTTTAAATTTTAAAAAAATGTTAAAAAAGATTAAATGAAAAGTGTGAGATAATTTTTTTATTTTTATAATTAAGTGGTTTTAATTAACGATTTTATCTCTTTTTATTTTTAAGATATTTTAAAAGTGCCTAAGTTAGAAACTTTTTGCATTAGACCCTTCAATGGTTTTAATCAACTAGATTTTATTGAATTTTTTTTTTTAAAAAGTAAGCTTAAAATTATTTGAAAAATCAGGGTGGGGTTGGAACGAATTTTTGTTGGGCGGTGTATACGAAACTTATTACATAATATACAAAGTAACTAAAAAAGTATCTTATTAGGTATCTTAAAAAGTATCTTAAGATAAGTATTTAAGTTCCTTTTTGTAAAGAGTAACTAGATACCCAAAGTAACTTTGGATACTTTTTCAAAAAGTAACTTATCTTGTATCTAGATACTTTTTAAAAGTATCTTTGACAGCTCTGATTATTATAAGTTGTACCACTTGAGGCGAGTGGATGTGCTCGTATAGCGAGAGCGCTCCTAAGCAGTGTAAGTGATACAAGCGTGAGTCCTAATAACGAATCTGAAAATCCGGCAATTTATCGGATGCAAGTGAATCAAAAACAGTAAAACGGAAAACAATATTTAAAAATTAAATTAAATAAACAAGAAAAAATAAATAATAAGATCGAAAAGTGCGGGTGGCCCCCGGTTTAAGTCACAAAGTGCTATAACGTCGTAAAAGTTTGTGAGAGAGTGAGTGATTAAGGTCAGGTCACACTAATACACAAGCTACCTGGTTACCTGACTACCTGGTCTGCCACCACAATCGGCGCGTGCAGAAGCGAGCGGTCGAGGCCAAGGAACAACGGACTCTCCGCTAGGGACAGGGTAACAGAATGACAAGTCTAATATTTAGTCCACTTAAGTAAATTTCCTAATTGCCTGACCTAATAATACCAACTAAGAGACCAGCCCCATAAATTAAAGTTTAAAATAAACAAAACTCTAAAAAGTAAACAAGCACGAAAATAACATAACATCACAGAAGATAAGAAGAACGACCCTCTCTATATTGGGTCAGTTCAATGTCCTCCAAAAACCCACATTTACCCTCCTTGTCCCGCTCTCCACTAGCCTAAACTGGGCGTATGGCCCGACCCGGCGACAAAAATCTGGGAGTGGCCTTAACCATCGACATTGTCATCTACGACCTCCTAGGGTACCCTATGTAGATCTAAGGTGATATCGATGGGGCCTGCCATACGTCCCCATACTTATACTCATTTATACAGGTGACCAAAAAAGAGTATTCACATTATACACCCCCATAACTTTTTTATTTGTTACTCAATTTTAATGAACAAAGGCTCAAAAGAGTATCTAGTCTATCTAAGCTATACAAAATATTTTTAATGTCATTTGATAGATGCCTACCATACAAATTTTTATGTCAAAATTTGGAAAAAATTATTAGGGTCGTTTTTCGAAAAAAAATAAGTACGCCACTGAATGCGTTCGGCTTCAAAAAGGGTACAAACCAAGTTTTATTAAAAACGAACAATTAATAACTATTTTATCAGTTTAAAAACTTAATTTTCAAAACAAATCAAATTCTTTAAATCCTTTACATCCCCAGAAACTACAAGTTTATAGAGGGATACCCCCTTAGAGTTTTACAAGTATATATATATATATATATATATATATATATATATATATATATATATATATATATATATATATATATATAACAATATTCAGGTACATGAGTTTTACAAGTGTATAGAACAATACCCACATCACAAACATTTATTATTATAATATTCAGGTACATCAATTCAGTTTATGAAATAAAAACAAAAAATTAAAAAAAAAGAAAATAAACTAGAATATTGTATATCACAAAAAGCCCAGAAAAGTTCTTAAATTTCGTTTAAAAGCCAGTCCTTGTTGGTTTACCAGCTCAGTTGGTAAAAGGTTTTAGTTTTTTACACCCTTGTGTAGATAGATTGATTGAGACAGTGGCGAGATTTGCAAAGAGGTAAGTCTATTTTTCCCTCATTTCTAGTGTTGTAGTTGTGAATCTAGTTCCTAAATTTAAAATTTATGTTTGAAAGTCTGGTTTTATTTTTTACTTGGTGTATAAATAAAACCAGTTGTAAAAACAAATTGTTTTTTTCGCCAAGTCTTGGCGAAAAAAACAATTGTTCCCAGGTATTCAACGAGTCAATTTTTTACAACCTTTTCAAGCACTTTTGAAAAAACAGGGAGCACTAAAAGTTTTATTCTGAAACTGGACGATAATTGTTTACATTTTCTTTGTCGCCTGCTTTGAATAGGGGGGAAACTCGCGCCAGTTTCATTTTTTGCGGCACTATGCCTTCCGTAAACGACTGATTCACAGTTTTACACAATATGTGCTTTAGTACTTGAACACATGCTTTAACTGATTTTACATCAATTTGATCAGGACCACTCGATTTTGATAATTCAAGATTCATTATAATTTAATTTCCTCGGGAGTCGATGAACAGAACTTCAATTTTCTAGACCTGGCTCAAGATTTAGATCCAGGTTGACATGCTGTATTCTACTTGCTAGATTTTCGCCTACTTTAGAAAAGAAATTGTAAACATAATTGGCGATTTCTTTCTTCTTCATTTGTTATAACAGAATGTTCATCTGCTTTTTTATTGAAGATAATACTGTACTTTTGCTGCCACTACTGTTTTTTATTATAGAGTTTATGGCCTTCCATGTTTTCCTTTTTCATATAAAATTAACTACATTATTGTATTAATAACTATTTCAGACAAGTTTATTTTACCACGTTATAAACATTTATAAATTGAAACAAAACAAAAATCTAAGATAGCCATGCTGAAAATTTATGTTTATAAAGTGGTAAAATAAACTTGTCTAAAATAGTTATTAATAGTTAATTTTTAATTAGTTAAATTAAGTTTAGACCCATTCTGAAGTATGCCGCGTTCAATGGCGTACTTATTTTTCTCCTAAACCTCCTTAATGTGTTTTATTGTTCTTTATAAATATTTAAAAAAAACTTGTCTAAAATAGCTATTAATTGTTAGTTTTTAATGAAATTTGGTTTGTACCCTTTTTGAAGCATGCCAGCGTACTTTTTTTTTTTTGAAAAAACGACCCTAATATTTTTTTCCGAATTTTGACATGGAAAAAATGTTATAGTGTGCATCTGTCAAGTGACATTAAAAATATTATTTATTTGCAACAAAAAGCTGGCTGGTTTTGAAACTAAATACAAAGATAGTTGATAGTGAATGCTGAACTAATTTTATTGTAAAACAACGGACTTATATTTCAGTTATATTTCAGCAAAAATGTGACTGCTTTTGATTCTACACGACTAATATACAGGGTGCCCCAAAATCGGAAGCCCAAATCCAAAGGTAAATTCCTCTTGCAATTCCTAAATTGCAAGAGTCGTTTTTTAAGGGCCGCCAATGAGAGCGCAATGATACAAGTTTTTGTTATATTTTTGTGTTTACAAAACGCTGATAGTATATCATTGCAAAAAATTAAACAAAAGTAAATGTGGTGCGTGAAAATTTGTATTGAAATTTTAAGAGTAATTTACCTTTAACATTCGGGCCGCCAATCGGGAAACCATTATATCAGCCTTAAAAATTATATAACCCCTGAAATTTTGCGAATTTGAAAAAAAAGTAAAGGAAAATTTGTCTTGTAATTTTAAGAGAAATTTACCTTTAACCTTTGGGCCGCCAATTTTGGATGTACAGTTGTATTCAATAAAAAAGCGTACAAGAATTAGAATGAGAGAAAACTGTCAAAATAATATTATTGCTTAAAACCGGCTTATCACTGACATAAGTCATTAAAATAATTACTATAGGTTATAAAGAGCATTGACGTCGTAGGTTAATTAAATAATATTACAAAAATTATTACCTTTTAGAAATGAAAAAAAACAAACATTAAAAAAAATTTAATATTTAGTCATGCATCCGTGTTTTTTATTACTTGAGCCAATCTATTTGGGATAAACTGAATTAAATTTAATACAATATTTGGATTAATATCTTCCCAGCAGTATAGTAGGTATAGTATAGTTGTATAGTTTTTAGAGATGTAAAAAACGGTTTTTTTTCAAAATGAAATTTTGAGTAAAATGTAGAATATATTACATTTTTCATTATTTAAAATTTTGACCAAGACTAAAAAATTAAAGGATAAAAATTTTTTTTTGCGATTTTTCGGATAGCTGTATCTTTGTTAAAAATGATCGTATTGGAGCCGTAAAAAAAGCAATTTGAAGCTTGAAGTTTATAGTTTTGAGATTTTTAGATGAAAAACGTGCAACGCTCAATTCTAACGAATACCGTAATAAAAAAGATCGATTTTTTTTGCTTTCTTTTTTGGTCCACGGAATGTTCTGACTTAACCACCAATGAATAAATGTTTTACAAGAATTTGCTATTGTTTTTTGAAAAAAAAAATTCCATACTCTACATAAATTTGAAAAATCAAGCTTTTGGTAGCTTTTTGAAAAATCAAGCGCTACTTTTTTAAGGTCCAAATCAACAGAACGTGGCCCTTATTGCTCAAATCGATGGTTGTGGCGCGTACATAGCGCGAGACTGTATTTACATTTACTAATTGTCATTTAGTGGCTAATTTTAGTCCATGAAAACATAAAAAATTAGGCAAATGGGACTAATCTTGAAAAAAAACCTAAAATGTGAAAAAAAACCATTTGAAAAAAAACCTGAAAAAAACGAACCGTTTTTTTTCAAGTCGCATCTTTAATAGTTTCCCATAAATTCTCAGATATCTCAAAAAAGCAGCATCCTGTTCAGGGGTGGACATTTTGGGACGACCTGAACCAACTTTTTGGTTTAGTAAATCTTCCTATTCCCAGCGTTGCTTAATTTTTAATATAGACTTTTTATTTCTGTTATACCACAGTACGAATTGATCATTCTTCTTCGATTCTTGATACTATTTGAGCCTTTTTAACTGACGAGGCATTTTTATTTTCTACTGTCAGTTATAGTGACTTAAGTCAGTGGAAAGCCGGTTTTAAGCAATAATGTTGACAGTTTTCTCTCATTCTAATTCTTGTACGCTTTTTTAATGAATACAACTGTACCATGTACTTAAATCCAAAATAATTTTAAAAAAATGTGTGTATTTTTCTGTTTATGTGAACAAACTAAACTTTTGAGTCAAATATTATATCGTGATATAACAAGAACAATGAAAATATCGCAATCTGATGCAAAAAGTGCCAACCTACAGTAAACCTATAGGTTTACTGTAGGTTGGCACTTTCCCGCATTCATGGGAAGCTATAGACATGATGTAGACATAGACAGTCTTTGTCTACATCATGACTATATCATGGTCTACATAATTATAGACATTGTTCTTCTATTTACTTAGTTAAGAATATTGTTGCGCCTTTAAGTTTTTCCAATATTTTTACTGATAAGTAGTACTTTTATGGTAATTAAAGAATATTAATTTGAAATTTGGAAATTTCAAAAAATGGTAAAAAGAAATCTTTTAAGAATGTATAAAGATTTTTTTAGTTAAAATATTTTATAAAATAAAAAGTGACACAAACGTTAAAATAGATTTTTTATTTAACTATTAAGTCTGAATTAATTTAAATTTCTGAATTTGTTATTACTTATACCACTTGTTAAAGTTATGATTCTTATTTATCTGTGCTGTTTCCATAACCAATTCAATGTTTCAGTCAATTTGTATGAACTAAAAACATACCACGAAGTCGTAGATGAAGTATATTATAAAGTAGCCCATCTAGAACCATGGGAAAAAGGATCTCGGAGGACTTCAGGACAAACTGGTATGTGTGGGGGTGTACGTGGTGTTGGAGCTGGTGGAATAGTATCTACTGCCTACTGCCTACTATACAAGCTATTCACTTTAAAGCTCACCAGAAAACAACTAAATGGTCTTATAACACACTGTGATTCACCTTACATCCGAGGGTTAGGCTTTATGTATATTCGCTACACAATTCCTCCGCCACAGCTACTAGAATGGTATGAACCCTACCTTGAAGATGAGGAGGTGCGTACTGAAAGGTAGAGTGAAGTCTATCTGTTGTAACTTTTATCAGTTTTCTTTAATTAATATTCGATTTATTGATGTTTCAATTTTTTTGTTCGAAATCTTAGGAGTTGGATGTTAAGGCTGGTGGGGGACAGGTAATGACAATAGGAAGTATGTTGAGACAGTGGTTGGTCAAGTTGGAATGGTTTTCTACTTTATTTCCCAGAATTCCAGTTCATGTGCAACAGAAAATACAGAAGCACTTAGAGGTAAGTTTCATTCTCTCACATATTTGTCCTTACTTAAAAATTCACAGTTTTTGTTTGCCAATATTTAAGTCACATTTCTAATTTTTAACTTGTTAATTATAATACTTATCAGAAAATGAAAAATCTTTAAGGTCACCTCTAAAATTAATCAAGGTATAGAATTAAAATATTCCCAAAATTTACCTTTTTTGTACTTGTTCTTTTCCTGAAAAAATCATAAGAATTTTTTTTTTTGATAATAACAATAATTGTTGTTTTATTTCAATCTTTCAGAACTTTTTATACAGGTACCCTTTCCCCATATTACAGGTTGTCACAAAGTCTTGTCCCACCAGAAGTTGCGTCACACTCTGAATTTTAAACTGAAACTTTTGTAAGCGTTGTGGGGCAAAATCATTTCAAGCGACTTGCTACGGAACGCTCTGTGATGTGACGTGACCAATCACAGCAACGCCGTGACCTGTATTATCTATGGCAATGAAATCGCAAAACGCAGTTTGGGCGATTTCTAAATAAAATCTCTTTTGTCAATTCTTCGCATTAAAACTGTAATTAAAATTTACCTTTAGATTGCAGCTACCTGGGTGTCAAAAATTCCATAAGCAACCAGTGTCCACACATGGTAATAATGAAAAATTATATAGTTTATTTAATAATAGTTATATAAACTAATATTTATGTCACTAGGCCAAGAAGTGAGTGCGCAACGAGACTTACAATTGAGCGACATTCTGGGCAGAATGGCTTACATGTTATCTTAAAATTGTAATGTGTTTAGAATTGGTTTTAAAATTTTATTTTTAAACCATACATAAAACATACAAATATTAAAAGTAAAAAGTGAGGTTAGAACCGTCTATAAGATGTAGAATTATATGATTGGTCAAGATCACAGTGAATAATGAAAATTACAACTACAGGGTGAATCATATAACTTGAAACCTGAAATATCTCAGTTAGTATGCATTTTAGGAAAAAATGTTTAAAATAAAAATTAAATGATTCGAGGGGGGAAATCAATCAGTACTAAAATTGGTCCTCATACTCTCCTCCTTATAGAGGGAACAGGGGGTAACTTTAAAACTTCCAATGTAACACCCTATTTTTTATTGCAGATTCGGATAATTCGACTAAAAATAGGTAGATTTTGTCTAAAACATTTTTTCATATTTGTAATAGATGGCGCTGTAATGAAAAAAAATCAATTTTGTTCGATTTTTCTTCTGTATAGGATTCTCCAATAATTTTTAAATAAAATACTTGACTTTATTTTTTAAATTTATTTATTTCGTTTTAATATTCTGCTAACAGTGCTCTGGGATATTCCCAAATCTCTAGATAATTCTCGTGTGCATGCATGAGGATTAGCGGCCGTTGCTGCTAATACATTAATTTCATTATTTCAATCCGTGACTGTTGCTCGACTCTTTTTTTATGTTGAACACTCCCGTTTGTAGTAAACTGCTTGACTGTACGGTGAAATGAAGTACGTGATCGAATTTTATCCGGAAAACGCTGAGCGTAGATATTAACAGCATCATCAAGATTCCTGCCTGCTTCTCCATAAATCCAAATCATTTCTATTTTTCTTCCACTGTTAAATAATTCCTTATGTATAACTGCTTATCAAAAGGAGGTCTTTTTGTTTGAAAATTAATCTTCGAGCTAAATTGATTAAATAATGCTAAACTATTCATAAATAGTTTCTTTATACCTCAATAATAATTATTATTTATAACTAAATACCATTTTTTATTCCTCAATTAGGATTAAATTAATTAATTAACAAAATAATGATTTTTACCTTAAATTGGGTATTTTTATTAAAAATATTACAATAATCCTTTAAATTAAAGGATTTAATGCTGGCAGGTAAAAAGTGATCATGGTGAGCAATTGATAATTATCACCATATGAAATAATGTATAAAACTTAAACCAAAGTAAACATAAATATTAGTTAAAAAATCGTAGGTACTTCAGATTTAATTTAATAAGATAATTATTACCAAAAAATTTATAAAATTTATAGAAAAATTATTGCAGAATCGTATAAGAAGAAAAATCGAACAAAATTGATTTTTTTTTCAATATAGCACCATCTATTACAAATATGAAAAAATGTTTTAGACAAAATCTAACTATTTTTAGTCGAATAATCCGAATCTGCAATAAAAAATAGAGTGTAACGTTGGACATTTTAAAGATACCCCCCTGTTCCCCCTATAAGGAGGAGAGTATGCGGACCAATTTTAGTACTAATTGATTCCCCCCCTTGAATCATTAATTTTTATTTTAAACATTTTTTCGTAAAATGCATACTAACAGATATTTCAAAGTTTCAAGTTAAATGACTCACCCTGTATAGTCCATAAAAATCATTATAATCAATCTCTTCAGTGTCAAGTATTAACAACAATAAAGGTAAATTATAAGCCTATTGTTTCATGCTCATAAAAAATAATTTTAACAAATTTAACCAATTTCATAACCCCTTTCTTGTTATGATTTTGAATACTGTGAAGAACCTTCACTTATATAGCGGGCTTTATGGTTACACTTTAAAAAAAAATTAATTTTGTTTTTTTGAACATTAATTATTTTTATATGCATATCTTTGACCCCCTCCCCCTTTCATGGGGGTTAAACATATAATACCACACCTACTTTATGGATGACCAATTTTGCTTTAAGATTTTTTTTTATATAAAAAAACATTTTTTTTGCGTTCAAAAATTAAAGGTAGTTAAAACAACAATTAATGAAAGCTAAAAATAGCGGAAATATGCCTCATAAAATATGCATTTGCATATAATCCGGTCTCTAGTTAAGAATACATGTCTGTCTATAGTTTTTCTTTTATGCTCTATAATACTAATATGGCATAGATGTTGTCAAAAATGTTTCATATTAACATTAGGTTAAAATTAGATGCTATTTTCCCTTATTATTCACTCCTTTTTGACAAAGCACCTTTATAATAATTATTGTCTTCAAAATTAAAATATCCATCATACTTGGGGGTAACTTAATTCAAAAAAATACCATAACACATTGAAAGAGAAGTTATATTGAATTTGATATGGCAAAATACGATATATACATATAGTCAATTATCTTTGCACATAGTACCAAATATTGCCAAAACTGCTAAAGCTAAATATTATTTAGTAAATATTTAAAAAAGTTCAAAAAATGTACTGAAGTACAACAAATTCACTCAAGTCTTTTTTAAATTTTAAAATCGGTAGGTAAGTGCAAATTTTAAAATGTACTCTGGACTGAGTACAAAATTTAAGTACTTGAGTACAGAAGTGCTATAAGCTTAAGTCAATAATCGACCATTGTTAACATGAGGACGAAATCTCGGCAAATACTGTTTTAAGATTAAGTCAATAATCGACCATTGTTAAGATGAGGACGAAATCTCGGCAAATACTGTTTTAAGATTATTGCATCGCAATGGAACTCACTTATGGAATAAAATTCGTTATTCGTTGAGAAAAGATTTTTATGAAAAACGCTCGGACACGTTAACTTTAGTTTTTTATTCCAAATCTTATAATGATAATTTTAAATGCATTGTTTACATTTTTTGCATTGTTTAAATTTTTATTATTAATGAAACATTTCGCGCTTTACTTATTTAAGTATTTTGTTAGATCCAAGTATCAGTTAATATTTTAGTTAAAAAATGCGACACTTGACAGAAACTCTGCGAATAGAAATATTAATGATGATTGGTTACGGTGATATGTGCAGATCACAACAGCAAGTTGCAAACCTTTTTAATGGAAAATACCCAGATTTACCACCACTTTCTCAGGCAACTGTGTCTAAAATACAATTTCGACACGTTAAACCATTACGCAGGACGCCTCATTTAATTGAAGAAAATGTGAAAGTTAATATTTTATTACCTTTTCAAGAAGATCCCACAACTTCTACGCGTCAAGTTGCACGTGAAAACGACGTTAGTCATTCGACCGTTTTAAGATGTGTAAAAGCCGAAAAAATGCATCCATATAAACTACAACACGTACAAGAATTGATTGATGGTGATTCTGATAGAAGATTACAATTTTGCGAGCAAATGCTGCATATGTTAAACAGGAATGTTATTTCTTCTGCAGATATTCTTTTTTCTGATGAATCAACATTTCTATTAAATGGCGAGGTAAATAGACAAAATTGCAGGTACTGGACAGAAAAAAATCCCAACTGGATGCGACAAAGTCATACCCAACGTCCTCAGAAAATCAACGTTTGGGTATTGTTGGTGATCATGTGGTGGGACCTATTTTCATTGAAAATCTTAACGGGGCAAGATATCTGGATATGCTAAGAGAACAAGTTGTCCCAACTTTAGCAGAGTTGTTTCCAAATCCATTGGAACCTAATGGTTTATCTCTGGAACCTAATCTTCCCAATGAATGGATATGGCTTCAACAAGACGGTGCCCCACCCCACTATGCTCTTTCTGTACAGAATTATTTAAATGACACCTTTTCACACAGGTGGATCGGAAGAAGAGGTTCTATAGAATGGCCAGCAAGATCACCTTATCTAACACCTCTTAGATGAATTAAAAAACAGAATTACCGAAGAAATTAGGAACATAACACCGGAGGTTTTAAACAGAGTGCGGGAACAATTTCACAGTAGATTACTAAAGTGTCAGGAAGTGGACGGGGGACATTTTGAACATTTATAAGATTGAAGAACAGTTTATTTTTGAATTTTTAATTAATTTTAAAATAAAAAGTTTAGTTTTTTAATTTGTCATTATATTTCCACCCTGTATTGAAAACTGTCTACTAAACCGTAGGGTTAAGTAGTTATATGGTATAGTCATACTCAAAAAAATGTGCACCATCAATTTTCGATGAAAAAAGTGGGGTTGTTATTTAAGATAAGGGTGCCTAATGTGCGGGGGGGGAAATGGTGGGGGCATACAATTTAAAATTATCATTATAAGATTTGGAATAAAAAACTAAAGTTTACTTGTCCGAGCGTTTTTCATAAAAATCTTTTCTCAACGAATAACGAATTTTATTCCATAAGTGAGTTCCACACTGTATAATAAATAAGTGATTAAATTAGGATATTGGCAATTTACTCGTGGTTGCTATAGATAAAAAAGTGAGGGTAAATTCGTTAGATGTCAAATATTTTTAATTAAAATTGGCTTTAAATTCTTATTTCTGTTTGTCATAGATAAGTATACCATGCAACTCTTTTTCTAAACTTCTATACAGGGTGTCCCACAATTAGTGCGACAAAATGAAGGTGTATTATCTAAAGACCCCCAGGAATTCCAGAAAATTGTTTAAAAAATTCTTTCTTCATTATTTAATAAGATACAGGGGAGTCATATTTTCTTTAAAAGGCAACATTGCCTCATAACAAAGTAATAGTTTAATTCATCATAACAACAAACAACAATGTTAGAAAATGCCAAATTTAAATGTCAAAATTTGTTACTTTAAGTTATAGGTTATTTATTTTACGTCAGACTGGATAGAAATAAATACAGGGAGTCCCTGCTTCGCTCGTGCCTAATAAAACTCTTAACTAAAATTACGTTTATAAAACTTGATACATAATAATATTATGATAACATACTATTATTTGAGAATTTATATTTTTAACTTTTTATGAATTCTTTTAATGCATTTCTGCAATAAAAAATACAAAGTATTGTTAAACTATATATTATAATATTCTGCATATCCTTCTATGTTTTCATTTATTTTTGTAATATTGTATGTAATTTTTTTTTCGTTAAAAGTATTATTAATTTATTCAAGTCTACATACCCTGTCCCAGAACTCGCGCCACAGAGAAAAAGGGAACCTGCCGAAAGTTATGCGAAACATATGCTTGAAAATTAAAATTATCTAACGCAAAGTATAATCGAGATAAGGGGGCATCCATTAATTACGTGAGGTATTTAGGGGGGAGGGGGTCGAGCCAAACCTCACCCAATCTCACGTGGGGGGGAGGGTGGTCTCGGCAAATATCACGTAATTTTTTCTTTACGAATGAAACAGTGTAAAATTGCGAGAAAATTGGGTTAAATTAAGTAAAAAATTATAAGCAAATTGTTTTTTTTAATAAATCTAATTTAATCAATCACAGATTAACTTATTTACATTAAAACCATGCATTTAAAAAAATCTCACGTGAGATTAACCCTTAAGCAGGCACGCGGGGTGTACAAAACACCCCAGCTTCCTAAATATAGCTACCGGTCTCACTTCGTTTCGAATAAATGGCGCTTACTTTCAGTACCTTCCTGTCAAAGTATTGTCAGTCATATTATATTGCCGATTTCGAAGTTAATGTAATAGGTTGTCTGATATTTTGTTTCAAACAGGCTCTGGGTGCTGTGGACACCCCGTGCGCCTTTCCACGTACAATTATTTTGCATTAATTTGTTAAGCGGATTTTTTCAACTTTTGTTATTACTTCACATTAAATAAGGTTATACCCTGTAAAAAAGTAATTGGAACGCACGACAAAATATTTATTTTTATCTTGAAAGCATTGCGTTATGTTTTGCTTGTTGCCGTTCGTTCTAATATTTTATGTAAACAACAAATAAAAATTTGCCAAAATTTCTCCGCCCAATAATTTTCAAATTATCAGTTGCCGGTAAAGAAGGGCAGATGTGTAATTTGTCCAAGGCATGCCTTTTTGCAAAAAGTAAAAGGTGTGCCAAAAACATGTGCATGAAGCATAGGAAAAATGTTTGTAAAGAAAGCTTTGATTCCATAGGAAATTCTAGTATCGAAATTGAGTGACTTTGAGCAGGCTGGGTTTCGACTCCCTATTGACTTTTCTTTACCAAATCATAATTACTTGTAAAAGTAATCCTTATCTTATGTGCTTAGTGTTTTTTTTTGGGTTTTATTATTATTATGACTTTTAAAATTTGTGTTTTATTTTATTAAAATTGTTGTCTTTTGACATTTTCTTTTTTTTGTCATCTTTTATCAAATTTGAACGCAACGAAATATGTTCTCATTGTCTCTAAGCTCATCTTAACTTGATAACTTTGAAAAAAAAAAACAAAATAAATGTAAATAACACTCAGGGACGCTTTGCCATCAGGGGTGTCTCTGACACCCCGCGCGACCTACTACGTTGCATAAAGAGGTGCGCCTGCATAAGGGTTAAGGGAGGGGCGAGGGGGTCGATCAAAATCTCACGACATCTCACCAAGGGGAGGGAGGGAGTAAAAAATCGCCAAAATTGCCTCACGTAATTAATGGATGACCCCTAAGAATAAAAAACGATAGCCAATCCCAATACATGGCCATAGGGAATTCTTTAAATTGCTATTGATATTAAAATATGTAAAATATTTGGTCGACTGGAATTGACTTTATTGTGATATTGATGTCAATTTTTGTTCCTGTCATTATTTATAATTTTAAGTTGTTTTTCTCCTCTGATTATGCAGAAATTATGATTTATGGGGAGTATGGGCGCAATGCTAGGTAGGCACGAGTTTTTCCAGTGCCGATCGTGCCCTGGACTGTAAAGTTGTTCTGCGTTGTAACGAAATTGAAGGTGCTTCTTAAGTTATTAGAACAGCGGAAAATAAAGAAGCTACTTTCAATGCCTTTGATGCAAATAGTAGGAAGGACATAAGGAAAGTTGCACGCGAATTTCCCGAAGTTCCTACGTTTAAAGGCCGATTCTCACATAGCGACGCTACGCTACGCGACGCGACGCGACACTTTAAAATGTAGCTGATGAAAGATTTCCATGTACAGACCTACCTTTGTTGGTCTGTGTTTCCATGCATTTAAATGAGACAATTCCCACATAGCGACGCGACGCGCCAGCAACGCGACTCGACAAAATTTTGTCGCTTCCTGGAGCGACAATAGGGCGCGATTTGGAAGCATCGCGTCGCGTCGCTATGTGAGAATCGGCCTTAACCTAGGCTAGAACTCTCGGTATTGGCTGTCGCTTTTTTGCTCTCATTCGATTACACTTACAATTTTTTTTATCTCCATTGCTTTCAGCACGCTCCATTTTTCTCTTTGACAACCTTATTATTTACATATGTTTGTGTGTGAACTTATTTTTTGTATAATTTTGCATTACATCCTATTAAATTTTATTCTTTAATTATTTTATTTCAACTTTTGCTATTTTGAACCTTGTTACTGTTTAATAATAATACCTACCTAATACTGAATATTTCTGAAAGTTTAATTTATTTATTAAGATTTATTAATTATTAATCCTCCGTTGAAATCTACAATAAAAGTTCTAAACAGGTCTAAAATTCAACTTAAATATAACCATTTAATTCGCCGCTTTAAGTTAAGTTGTTCCCAGTCCGCAAGAGTGGGATAGTCGAAGTTTGCTCGACGATGGGGATAGTCGAAGTTTGCTCGACGATGGGGATAGTCGAAGTTTGCTCTGAATTATTAATACGAATTACGCATTATTAAGTTCAGATACTTAAAATGTAACGTAATCACTAGGGATGGGATATTTAGGTACTAAAAACTGAAAAATAGGTAACTAAAAAGGTACTACAAAAAGCATTTTAGGTTAAAAAAAAACAGCATTTTAGGTAAAAAAAACATTAAAAGTTCAAGTTTATTTTATAATTTTGTTTAGCCGCATACCCAAACACAGAACATACCCACAATAAACTATTTCTATGCAATAAACTGTGTTTCACTGAGTGACACTCACTACACAGAAATTCTATGACAGAACATAAGCTCAATACAAAGAAATACTGTAAAGACTGTTACAGTCTGTGACCCATAGAAATAATTTAGAATAATAGAATAATTTCTATGCTGTGACCATAAGAAAAAAATTCTATACCGTTGAGTTGCACGCCCTGGATAAAATATTGGCGGAAAATTTAAAAAGAACACAAAAAAATAAAGTAAAAATAGATAACAAATATGTGAAAATAAACTGACAAATTAAAAAATATGTAACAAAAGTATAAAAAGGTAGTTTAAAGCAAAAACCTCCAAAAAAGGTAAAAAAGGTGAAAACAAGTTAGGTTCATATAAAAGAAAATCTTTTAAAACACATTTTGGCATTATTAGTTTTCAAATAGTTACATCGGTTGAAAAAAGGTAAAATAACTAAAATCCCATCCCTAGTAATCACTTTTAACAGTAAATTATTAATTTGTGTAAAATCTTATTTCTTTTCCATTTAACTAAAAGTGTTTTCTTATAAAAAAAAGGTTTAAGCATAAAAAATTCTCTTTAAAACAAATAAAAAAATAAAATATTTCTCCTGAAAACAAATTAAAATAAATAAATCAATTTAATTTAAAACGTTTGTTATTGTTATAATTGTCGGAAAAGAACGGTCCGGATATTTAACTGAGTATAGGTCTCTTAACAATTGTTTGACGTAGAGAATTGCCCACTAAAGACCAGCTTATCATGTCAATGTGTAGGACATAACTTATAATTTTAAATAAAAGTAATTTATTTTAAAACGCTCAAAATGCACTGTCAAATGCAAAAGATGACTGAATCGTCGTCTACGGCAATCCGCTTACAATGGGTTTTAATTTTCAGAGCCACTTTCCTCCTACCGCCGTGACCGTGGCAAACGAGCGGGCACGTGAAGATCGCATAGAGCAGCGCAGCAGAGAGCGACAGGGCCCCGTTCGCGAAGACTTGCGTCGCGATTTTTTGCGAGACGACGACCGAGATCGCGACGCTCGCACGCAAAGGCGCGGCGGAGGCGGCAGAGAGGAACGGAGCGGGGCCGACCGTGGCGGCGATCGTTATCGAAGGGACCGCGATCGCGATCACCGAAAGTACAAAGAAAGGAGCCCAGTCGGGGAGCGGCGCAACAGCAGAGAGAGGAGTCCTTACAGATCGCAGCACCATCGCAGCCAGGAGAGGGACCGCAGGCGCGAAAGATACCACTAACGATGTTTTCTATAATAATGGATATTTATATTAACGCACTTGAATCCTGTTTTTTTCCAATATGAGTAACTGTTTATTTAAGATAAAATACACGAATATGATAAGTAATGAGCCATTTTATTTCCCTCAAAGCCTATTCTGCAGTTTTTTTCGTTAATTCATTATTTTTTACCCACGGGTCTTCAAAGGACGCACAGACATTTTGTTTGCGGGTAAAACCTGATAAAATAAGACGTTTGCGGATGAAAGCAGATGTTCGCAGATAAAAAACATGTATAGAAGCAGACGTTCGCGGGTAAAAGCATATGTTCGCGGATAAAATCAGATGGCAGACGTTTGTGGCTAAAAGCAGATTCTCGCGTTTGCTGACAAAAATAGGCGAAAAAATGCAGGTAATCGCGGATAAAACCAGACGTAAGCAGACGGTTGTAGATGATCCCGGACAAATGGAGATATAAACGAAACGCAGTGGAGACGGTTAAAAACAGATTGCGGGGTGCACTAACCGGACATAAAACACAACCAAGCGGGTGTGCGCGGATATAGCGATGCGGACATAAGCAGATGTTATCAGATGATATTTTTACCGGCTTCGACGAATAATTTATCCGAAATTATCTGCTTTTATCCGGTTTCGACGAAGAATTTATATCCGCAATCATCCGTCATTTTTAGCAGGGTTGTAAATTAAGGGAAGACCCTGTGTGGTGGGTATATTACTTCTAAAGCAGAGCTGGGCCAAGGACAGGTAAAATGAACTCAAGTACAAAGAAAAATTCCTAAAGGAGTATACTAATTTCAAAGTACTCCGAGTACAGTACTGAGTATTTAATAATTGTATTTTAAAAGTACATGTCACAAGACAAAAGTAGGAATGTACCCCATTGGACAATCTTAAAAATTTGCAGTAGAATCTTGAACCGGCTCAAGCAATCAGAAATATTTAGATATTGCATTACTTTATAGTAATGCTTGACTTAAGACTGCATTTCCAGCAACTTTTTTTACCAGTGAACCGATTTTTACCAACCAAACTTTGAAATGAATCCTTATAAATGCATTTATTTGAAGAATTTACCAATCGGAAAATTTGGAAAATGTTTTTATTTTCCTGGACCTTTTTTCCCGAAACCCATTTGTAAAGGACATTTGTCCTTGGTCAAAACCGTTTACACCAATTTCCAAACGTTATTCGCTGAAAAACTGAATTTTCTTAAGTCTTTAACAAAATTCTGCCTTATTTGATATCTACCCAACAGTATGCTCGATTCCACTTTAGTTGGTAATGTTGGTATCAGAATCGGGGATTATGTACTATGTATTTAACAAGTGATGGTTGTACACAATCCAAACGTCTCAACTGTTTTATTGTGATAAATTGATATAAGAAACAAATGGTAAACATTGCTTCTGCGCTGTTATAAGCCTTATAAAAACACAAAAACAATGTTTTGTATTTTGTTTTAGAATAACCAAATACAACATCTCTAAATAATTCTAGATAGGTACCTACCATTTTTCTTTAAAAATAGATATTAACACCCCCATAGTAATGCCACTGCTTGTTGTATGAAAACGAATTTAATGCCGAACCATTACCATAATAATATGTTCCTTTTGGAGCACGTATATTATTGTGCACTCAACGGTATTATATTATAATTATGCACATTTGCATGACATACAGAATTTACATCCCAAGTTGACAGGACTGTTATTAAAAATTGACATAGTCATAGTTAAATAATTACATTAGGATGTTCAATAAGAAACCATATTGTTTTTAAGTCATTTATTTACAACCTCAATTATTGCAGGTGAAGCATTATGTCTTTATAAAAACAATACAAAAAGTGGATACTAAACATCTAAAATATATTATCATAATTTAATAAATAATACTTTAGTCAAAACTTAAAATGCGATATAGTTTTTTTGGTACGTTTATAACAAAATACTGAAAATACAATAAATAAAAATAGTACTTCTAAAGCACTTTGGTAAAAATATTTAGTATAATTTTGTTAATAAAAATTATAGTGTTATACTATACAAAACATGAATAATACAAATTTTGATATGAATATTTTAATTTTTAAATTAAAATGAGCAAATAATTCAATCCCAATTTATTACACGGCCGCCTTTAAAACAATTTGAATACTTTTAAATTAAAAGTATTGTATTAAATTATCAGTCAAACTTGCTATAAATTTAATAGCATATTGAGTTGTGAAATAGCACCTCTTTATAGAGAATCTCTACTCTAAAATCTTCTATTCAAGTCATAACAATCTATGAAACCAAGAACTAGTTCATGTTCTACAAAAACTAATTTGCTTCATTGGTCAAAGTAAAAGGAAGTCTAAATTTTGACATAGTGCATGGAAAATAATATACAGAAAATTATATAAATTAGAAACGAACTATAAATAAATTTGTACAAATTCCTTTAAAATAAAAAAGTGTTGTCTTATTCGTTTTCTCCCACGTGTAACCATGGATGGTCGAGAACATCTTCAGCGGAAAACCGCAGCTCCGGAGCTAGTTGCAGCATATTCTGGATTAACTCTTTCGCCAAACCGGAAACGTCCTGCCAATATTCGTCAGGAAAATCATACTGGCCCGACAGGATGGTGTCGAACAGCTTTTCCTGGTCGTTGTCTTGCGCCACGAACGGCGGGTAGCCGCACAGGAGAATGTATAGGATTACTCCTGCGGCCCACACGTCAATCTTCAGGCCGTATCCACCTTCGGCGAGGATTTCGGGCGCCACGTACGTCGGCGTACCGCACACCGTGTACAACGGTCGAGTCACTTCACACGCCAAACCGAAGTCGCCCAGCTTCAACTGTTTTACTCGTCCGTTTTCCAACTCAACCTGATTTAAATTAGTTCGAATAATCAAATAATAATATAACTTCATTTAGCAATAGCTTTTTTCATACAAATTTTAAATGGCTTATTCTAACTTATAATAAATTGAATACAATTATTATCCCAAACTTGTGTCATTTTTATCTGGGACTTGTAACGAGTTTCTGTTACGGTATCGTTCTTCATGAAAGGATCGAAACAAAACTGTACGGCCATTTCAAGCGCGCGAAACGCACGAATTACAAAAGTTTTTATAAACAAAATTTTAGAATATTTTTTATATCAGGGTTCCCACGAACTTTCTATTAATTTTTTCCAGGACATTTAAAAAAAATCAAGGAAATTTTTTAATTTTAAAAATAAAATTTTATTAAAAACAAACTTACTCACCAAAATGTTGAGTTTATTTAACCCTTAACTACAGGTATCCTGTATTTTTTTGCTAGTATATGGTTCCAATTTGGTATTTTGGGGAATTAATACGTCTATGTTAATTTTTTGCACTTAAAATAATTATGAACCAAAGTTTTTTGGAAACTCGCTAGTATATTAATAGTAAAAAATCGCAATCTGTAAAAATTAATGAAGTGTTTAGGTAATAAATATTTTTTATTTTATAATAAAACTGGTTTCTGAATGTATGAAAATGTGATTTTTTTATTATTACCTTGTTTTTATCTATCCTTAAGGGGAAAATACAAGGATAATAATCCTAGGCCTTAAAATAATTTAATACAGAAACATTAAAAATAGGCAGAATTTTGCACCACTCTACCCCTTGTAGTTTTTTTTAATAATTTTTCCTGTTGCAAATGCTATTTATTTATTTAAGATTATAATAGGGTTATTTTTTAAATGGCATTTATAAACGTTTATTTATTTTTATTTGAGAAGTTTTAACACACATTATTAAATATTGCTGGATTTATGCAGAACAAATCAACACCAAGTTAACATCAACATTAAGATCAACACTATCATTAAGAAGTTAAATGAACGTAATTCATTGGAATCTTTTATTTAACACATTAACATTAACTTTAAAGTTTTTAAAAGTTTAAACTTTTAACTTCTTAATGATAATGTTAATTTTTATTCCTCCAGCGTAGGTTGCGGCGCAATTTTTAAATAAACCGTGTCAGTAATGCCAACATACCCGAAAATAAAATGAAACGTGCTGCTGAATGATTCATTTTTTATTCAATGATTGTGTTCTTTGGTTTATTGCTTACATGCAGTTTAAAGCACAAAGTGGTTTATAGTTTTCATTCATTTTACCTAACAGATGCTAAAACGGGGTTAAAACAAAATCCAAACAAACCAAAAATGTCAGATGTCAAAATTACTTTAGCTCAGAGCTGGGAGTATCTTGAAAAAAAAGATACTTAAAAGTAACTTAGATACTAAGTATCTAAGATACTTTATCTTAGATACTTTTTATATTGAACAGAAAGTATCTTTAACTTAGTTACTTTGGAAAAGTATAAGTAACTTATATCTTAAAAAGAATCTAAGTTACTCGGTAAAGTAACTAAGATACATTTATGTAAGTAACTTAGATACTTTAAAGTAACTAAGATACTTTTTAAAGTAACTAAGATACTTTTCAAAGTAACTTAGATACTTTCTTAGAGAAAATTGGGGGAATTCCAGAATGATTCAAAGTAATTACCTAACTTGTGGAATTTTTAAAAGTAACTTAGTTACTCAAAAGTATCTTAGATACTTTCATATAGTAACTTAGATACTTTTTAAAGTATCTTGTAACTAAAGATACTTTTAACTCAAAGTATCTAGTTACCAGAGGTAACTAAGTTATTTTGTTTAAAGTAACTTTAAACCCACCTTAAATTAGCTTAATGTAAACTTAATGTCAATGTTAACCCAATTCAAATGCGTGCTGCATAAATCCACCATAACTATTTCTTACTTACTTACTATATATACCTATATACATATTATATATTTATATAATAAATACCGGGGGTCTTTAATAAAGTTCATACATAATGATGTATGTAGTTAAGGGTTAAAACCATGATCTTATATGTATAAGACCGTGGTTAAAACCATCCCATGCTTAATGGTTTTAAATGTTGTCAATACCATTAGACCATTAAATAATGGTAACCAATATAACTGCCCTGCCCAACAACGTGAATAATGAACTCAATATTCAATCTGTTGGGCATCAGTGATTGGCTGATTTCAATATTCACTTCAAACCAATCGGGTTTTTAATTGAAAAAAAGTAAGGTTAACAGATGTCAGATTTTTTATATATACGAGGGGCGACTATAATGATCTATAGTATATAATCGGGAGAAAGTGAGGTTATAATACATTTTGTTATTAATGAAAATAACTCAATTGGAGTAGAAAAAGCATAGTATTACACTCGAAATAATGCGCATTATTCACTCGGATGATTTACGTATCTCGCCTGACGGCTCGAGACGCAAACCTCATCCTTGTGAACAATAGCCTGCATTATCTCTCGTATAATATTATACTATTATAAGTTATGGCAACCACCAGCATTCCACTAGTGGCGTCACCTCTAGCGGCAATTTTATTTTTCAATATTTTACAGTTCGTTTCTTTATCGATAGAATTAATTCTATTAATAATTATTATGTTTGAAATTCCAGGTTTCTTAAAAAAATCAAAGAAAAATATCTTTTTTTATAAAATTTCAGGTTAATTCCAGTACTGAATATTTTTTTTACAAATTCCAGGTTTTCCAGGACGCGTGGGAACCCTGTATATAATATTATGGCATCAAAATTGGCAATAATATTCTTCTCTTATTGGGTTATACATTAAATAAAAAAAAACGCAAGAAATATTTTATAAAAGTAGAGATAATTTTAATAATTGAAAGGTGTGGACAGGTCAAAAAAAAAAGATATATCTTGTCCCGTCCACATCTGTCAAATATTGAAATTATCTCTACTTTTATAAAACATTTCTTGCGATTTTTTTAATGTATAGCCTATTAAAAGAATAATATATTTGACAATTTTGATGCACAAATAATATATAATAACAGGGCTCCCACGGTTAAATTACAAATTTTATTTAGGAATTTAGGAGGTTTTTTGGAGAATTTTAGGAGAAAAAAGTATGCAAATGAATTTACTTAATTAAATAAAAACAACTCTACACTATACATACTTAAAAAATAAGAAAAAAAATAAGTATTTCTTTTTAACAAAAATATAAATAAATACTTATCACTTATTTTGTACAAATAGGTTATATTGACCAGTTTTTTTGCCAAATCGCTCGACGAGTTTTTTTTTAATAAAATGAAAAGTGAGGTAAAATTACTACTTTTGTATATATCTACAAGTAGAAATTTCACCACACTTTTAATAATATTAAAAAAAAAGCGTCGATAGATATGGCTAAAAAAGTAGCTAAAGTAGAAACTTCACCACACTTTTAATTTTATGTAAAAAAAAGCGTCGATGTTATATTTATATTTTGAAAAAAAAGTAACAATAATTGTAATGTTATTGTTAATAAAAAATCTCATAATAGAAAAAATATAAAGTTCATGATACAGCAAAACATTCTTTAGCTTTTTAGCTATTACTTAAAAGAAAATTAAAAATCCTTTTGTTTGATATATAACACGGTATATTTTTGTCGAAAATTAACGAAATATGGCTAAAAATTACAATTTTGTAGAAGTCTAGAAGCTACTACAAGGATTTTGTTTTATGGTATATTTTGTTGTTTTTTTAAGAAAAATGTAGGTTGTGATACCTATATCATTTAAAAAAAATTTAATAAACTAGAACCCAAAAATATATATTTTTTAAATTACTTTTTAAAAAAGAAATATTTTAGCACAACTACCTTAATTAAACGCAGTCAAGTTGGCCTACTTATATTTAATTTTTAGGAGTTTTAGGAGATTGATGGCAATTTTAGGAGAATTTTAGGAGTTTTTAAGATTTAAGCCAAATTTTAGGAATTTCATGAATTTTAGGAGGTGTGGGAGCCCTGTAATAAATACCCTACAATTTTTTTATAGAAACAGGTTTGTTATTTGTCCCGTCCGTACGCTTGAAATGGCCGTGTATCAAAACATGGGCTACAAAGAATGATAACGAAACTTTGAGAGACGATACCTATTAGTACCAAAACGAGTAACAAAATCTTCGTAACGGTTTCAGCGGAAACAAAATGCTATCGAAACTATTCATAACCAAAATCGCAGGAGCGCAACTACTACAGAAACACAGGATATTGAAACGAAACTAGTAACAGTAACTAAGAAACGAAACTGTAACAAAACGTTGCATTTTCAAAAGCTTTCACAAAATGCTCAACAACACAATTTCTTGAAAAAAATCTTTGTATTCTGTCTGTCAGCTGTCAATCTGTGAAGTATATTGACATTGTAAAGACAATTTATATTGGTTAAAAGTTTGAATTTATAAATTATATTTTTTTCAATAATTTTTATATTATAGAAATACTTCATATTAATACTAATTCAAAAGTCAAATTATTATTAAACTCCATACAGAAATAAAGCTAAAATATCATCTTGTCAGTTCAACCCATAGATATATCTATATAGATATATATCTCTGGTTGAACCTAAACTAAAAATCATGTGAATCTTAAGAAATTATTTAATTGAAAAAATAATAGTACATAAAACTCAGCGAAAGTTAATAAATTGCCTCGCACACAATCTACGGATGAAATGTATGCTCTGCATAATATGTGCTTTCTCCGCCTGGTCTATAATGTCCTACTACAGAATTATTGAGCAATTTTTAAGTACACCGAAAAAAATAATGTAGAGTTAACGTTTGCCTAAATGTCATTTTTGAAAATGTTGTTTCATCAAAAAACCTATTGGATTAATCTATATTTTGGTGTCAAAGCAATAGTCAGAGTTTGTCAAAGTTTATTTGTTCATTTGACAGTTAAAATATTGATTTAACATTAACTAATTTTTTGAATTAAAATGTTTATCCTATTTTGATTTAATAGCCGGAATTAGTTGAATCAAATACTGAAATTTTTAGGATTACCTAAAAACTATTAAATTAACATTTAATTGCTCTTTAAATCCAAAACATTAAATTTGTTCATTTAACAAATTGTAAATGTTACTTTAAAATTTGTTATAGTCCGGGAGGCAGTGAAGATTTTTATCTTCTTATTTTCCCAGTTTGTGAATGTCATTAAGTTTGTTCAAATGGTGACACAAAACGACAATTTGTGTGTCTGGCTAAAATTTTCGGATGGGTTCACTAGATGAGCCAAAAAGTCAAGTCCACTTATTTTCCCAGTCATAAATATTTCACATTAATTAAAGTGAGTCATTTTATTAATGGAAATAACAGTCTGGCACATCCCAAGTGAAGGAAAGTCGGTCTGGCTGAAAATTTGCGGAAGCAAAAATTTGACCGGTTTTTGAAATACGTAGCCCTTATTTTCCCATGCTTAAAATTTAACCCATTATTTGGTACTGTCATAAACTATAATCAAAATTAAGTCTGGCTGATTTATGAAATTGGCAAATTGTTCTGGCGGCATCTTGAAAATCGTAAGAATTACAAAAATTTTGCTCTTATTTTCCCGGATTTGAAAATTTGTCACATGATAAATAATACTATAATTTCGTAGAAAATACACGTCTGGCTGTTATTTACAATCACGAAAGCCCCGCCAGACTCACAAGTCAGATAGCAGAAACTCGCGTTTGAATGGGAATTTTCGCGATTTTCTTTTTTTTTATTGATATAACTCAAAAACTAAGGGAGATACAAAAGACTGTCAAGAGATCGATTTTGTAGAGAATCCTACAAAAAACAACTGCACAAATTTTCTCGTATCTCTGATAGTTACAAAGTTATTCGCGAATAAAGTTTTTTGGTGGCGGACGGACTGACATTTTTTTTTAGCCATATTTAAATTTTGCTTTACACAAATTATTTTCTTATCATACATTATGAAAAGTAAAAACATGTAGAGATGACAACAATCGCCTGTATAATTTAGCGCGTTTTGATAATTTTTCCACCTGCCAGACATATTACCCATACTCACAGATTAGCCAGACTATTTTTTTTCTTAAGTTCACTATATCTCTCATTAATGGAATTATTTTTATCACTGGAAAAAAAAGTGCAATATATTTGTACTTTATAACGCATTTTCCGCCTTAACCCATCGGAAACCCCCCCCTAAATATATATAAATTTTGCTCAGAATAACAAACCCAATAATTGTATCGGTGTTTGCCGACTGGGAAAATAAGTACCGAAAATCTTCACTGCCTCCCGGACTATTAATTTTGCATTCATAAAATTGCCGCGAAGGGCGCTTCGAACACCCACGCCACGTCGTTAGACGGTGTTGATCACGTGATGTTCTTACATCTCGCCTCAGTTGGCTTACGATAGGAGTATATAAGCTCAGGTAGCCGTTTGTTTTGGGTGTGTTCCACAGTGGAACTTCCACTACACCAAATTGCCCGAATATAGGTCGAAACAGCTGTCTGTCCGACAGACTCTGTCGGTAGGTATGTGAAGGTATTTGAAGTCTTCAAATACCTTCAAATTGAAATAAGTGGAACGCACTCAAAACAAAAACTCTGGCGAGGGAGGGTTCAATTCTTTCTCTTTATATTAATTCCATAATTTTGTTTTGAAACTGATAAGACCCCCAATATAGGTCGAAACAGCTGTCTGTCCGACAGACTTTGTCGGTAGGTATTTGAAGGTATTTGAAGTCTTCAAATACCTTCAAATTGAAATAAGTGGAACGCACTCAAAACAAAAACTCTGGCGAGGGAGGGTTCAATTCTTTCTCTTTATATTAATTCCATAATTTTGTTTTGAATACCAAACTTTAAAGATCGTTACTTTTACATTTTCAGAATGTAAACCCAACCCAATTAACCCAACATTAGCGCAAATTATTTTAATTTTACATTTTATTGGTGTTAAGTAAATATGCTAAAAAGGTTACCTGGACCGAAAATCTTCACTGCCTCCCGGACTATTAATTTTGCATTCATAAAATTGCCGCGAAGGGCGCTTCGAACACCCACGCCACGTCATTAGACGGTGTTGATCACGTGATGTTCTTACATCTCGCCTCAGTTGGCTTACGATAGGAGTATATAAGCTCAGGTAGCCGTTTGTTTTGGGTGTGTTCCACAGTGGAACTTCCACTACACCAAATTGCCCGAATATAGGTCGAAACAGCTGTCTGTCCGACAGACTCTGTCGGTAGGTATGTGAAGGTATTTGAAGTCTTCAAATACCTTCAAATTGAAATAAGTGGAACGCACTCAAAACAAAAACTCTGGCGAGGGAGGGTTCAATTCTTTCTCTTTATATTAATTCCATAATTTTGTTTTGAAACTGATAAGACCCCCAATATAGGTCGAAACAGCTGTCTGTCCGACAGACTTTGTCGGTAGGTAATTGAAGGTATTTGAAGTCTTCAAATACCTTCAAATTGAAATAAGTGGAACGCACTCAAAACAAAAACTCTGGCGAGGGAGGGTTCAATTCTTTCTCTTTATATTAATTCCATAATTTTGTTTTGAATACCAAACTTTAAAGAATGTTACTTTTACATTTTCAGAATGTAAACCCAACCCAATTAACCCAACATTAGCGCAAATTATTTTAATTTTACATTTTATTGGTGTTAAGTAAATATGCTAAAAAGGTTACCTGGACATTTCAAGAAATTTACCCTAACATCTTAAAAATGTTAGAACAACCATTTTCGAAATATTACTGCGACATATCAAGAATGTTTAATTAACCAGATTAGCAGATTAGAACAAATATTCTCATTTTGTTTTTTAAATAATATTTGTTGTTCAATTAAACAATACAATTTGACATTTTTAGATGGTTAAGTAAACGGGCAAAAACCATTGCTTGTATTTAAAGTGCATAAAGAATTGAATTATTATTTTTTTGTTGTTTCAACAGCTTATTTTTTTCAGTGTACGCTGTTTTTTTTATTTTATTATTTTGGTAAATTTAATAATATACTATATTACTGTTTCCATATAGGTTTTATTACAATTTCGCTGCTCGAGAAACGTTCCTAGTTTCGTTTCTGTACCGAGAGGTTTCATTACAAAGGTGTCGTTGCTAGATTCGTTTCCAGCAGTTTTGCTTCCTAAAGTTTTGTTACTTTTCTGTTACTTGTTGGAAACGATATTCAAGGTTCTGTTTCTAATAATTATATTTTAATCTTTACATGTTACTCGGAACAATAACAGCTGAAACGGAGTTTTGTTCCTATACGAGTTTGTTTTAAGTGCCTGTTATTTTATAATTTTTATAAACCGTCTTTTATTATTTTTATGAAACCTTGTATTTAGTTACTATTAATCCTTCGGTGGGCGTGCCTTTCAAAATTAAATCAGCTGGGGTACAGCGGAATATTATCCCGCAGATAGAAAACTTTCCTTAGGGACCAAAAATACCAAATATAACAAAAAGTTAACCCTTAAATGCATCGTGTAGCAAATTTGCAACGCTCCGGGAACTTTTATAGTAGACATACTGTATTACTTGTATTGGCTCGAATGCATGGTGCAACATAGTGAAGTATTTGCTAAAAAATTTTATTTGACCATAGATTGCGTTTTCATTCTTTACTGAATAAATAAGTAGGTATTCTACTATATGAGTAAGTTATGTACTTTTATGTAAATAAAACTATTGATGAAAAAACAGTTGATGATTGTCTTTTCTGAAAACGTTTCATGTATATTTTGTCCAAAAATAAAATCTTATGCATTTAAGGATTAAAACTTAAAAAAAAAACAAAAATAAAATTAGAAATTAAAAACTTACGAGAAGATTTTCTGGCTTAACGTCTCTATGCACAATGTTTAGGCTGTGCAGATATGCGAGCGCCGAAACCAAGTGGTCGATCATGAGAGCGGCCTGTTCTTCGGAGAACTTCTGCGCCACAGTGATCGCGTCGAACAGGTCGCCGCCGGTAACGTACTCGCAAACCAGATATAACATGTTCGTGGTGTCCTGTTCCGCCACCAGACCCATGATGTTTGGGTGACTTACGCTTTTTAAAATTCCTACTTCGTTCTCCAACATGTCCTCCTGAAAAATATAGATCGTTGATTTCAAGATTGGCAGTCTAAAAATAGCTATTAATGCATCGGATTGTTAAATGAGTCTTTTAAGCACGCGACGTAAAAATTGGACCGCGACACTATGGTCGCGACACTATATAGGTCTGTCTCGCATAAAAAATCTATAACTTATTATTTATAAAAATAGACCGCTAAATTATTGTACACCCTGCTTAAAATACCCCATAGAGACCCATAAAAATAATTTATCGGGCACTAACGGACTCAATATGTGCATTTATCCATGCTTTTTCCGGATACGGCCCGATAGAAAATGTATAGGAAATTACACCATAACTTCTACATTTTCCCTATAGAAAATAACTCAGGGATGTCCCTATAGAGCAACTATAAAACATTTTACAAAATTTTGTTAAAACCTATAGGGTCCTATGGGAGAAAACTAATTTCTACATTTATGTATTTTCCCTATGGAGACCGATAGCAAATAAATCAAGGAAGAATATCCCTATAGAACAACCATAAATCCCAACTATGGGTCCTATTCATACTGATACACCCATACTGCCCTACTATGGAGAAAGTAACTGCTAAACAAGAAATTTGTGGAAAATTAGCATAAACTACATTTTTATAAAAAGCAGTAGGTATTTAATTGATTTTTTTAACTTATGAGATATTTGACTGCATTTCTGTGTTGAATTCGGTTACAAAATGTCCATAGCTTTACCATAGCACAAGAAAACGCATTTTGCATTTTTTTGCAGTTACTGCCATTCTCCATAGTATACTGCCCTTCTCCATAGTAGAGCAGTATAGAAAGACCATACAATCCGATACAAAAATCTATTGGTTTGAACTGGGTCTCTATGTGACATTTTAACCAGGGCATACAAACTGTGCACTTTAGCGATATAGTAGAGAAATTTTCTACAACTTTTTCCTTTAAAATTTTTCGGTAAGACAAGTCATCCTCTTAATATTTTCAAATCAATTCAATATGCGAAAAAGGTAAAAAAATGACTTTCAGAGCTGATACCAAGGTGATTCAAGTTAGAGAAAAATTTGGATCTTTTAAGAAGCATTAAATACTCTGTAAGTAAAAATGACCACAATATGAAAAAAGTAATTGAAAATACATGCTTCTTAAATGGAAAAAAAATCAAAAACAAAAAGAAAGTACTTAAAATCAAAACTAAGGGCTCAAACTTTGAGGGATTTTTTTTTCGATGTGAAAAACAAAAAATAGTCCTTTTAAATGAAACACTAGAGTATATATAGTGTTGGCCATAATGTTTGCAACCTCTGTAAAAAAAATCTAAAACGCCTTTATTATTCTTTATGAAATTTTGGATAAAAATACTTCAACTTATATCTCAGTTTACGTGTTCGAGGGTTTTTCGAGAAAATATTTTTATTTAATAATGAAAAAACGTTCCAAAAATAAGTTTTAGGGTAGGTAATTTTTTTTAAGTAAATAAAAAATATTCTGTTTAAGACCGTATTTTTGTTAGTATACCCTGAAAATTTTGTACAAATCAAATGAACAGCAACGAAGATACAGCGATTCAAAGTCGTCAAAAATGACCACTTTTCAGTAAAATAATCAAAAAGGACACCGCTATAATTTGCCATAGTAAAAATCAAAAAACTGCCTCTGACCAACTCCAAGTTCTGTCAAATCAAATCTTGGCATGGTTTAACAAATGGAGACTAAAACCAAATCCTCTAAAGTCTCAACTAATACACTTCCACCAAAACAAGATTAACCCTAATATAACAATTAAGATGTACAATGACATAATAGAGCCAAAATCTAACGTAAAATACTTGGGAATCACACTGGATAATAAAGTAAACTTTAATCTTCACTCTTCTCTGTCAAAGAAGAAAACACTAACAAGGGCCAGCCACTTTAGAGGACTTACATACAACAAAAAAAGCATCAATGATGAAACAAAAAAAAATATATACACCCTAATATGCAGACCAATCCTGGAATATGGATGCATCTTACTTAATAATGCCCGGAAACCAGCCTTAAGCAAAATTAAAACCGGGGAAACCTCATCACTCCGAAAAATCTCCAAAATGAGACATCCAACCAATTCTCTACACAACCCTCCCAACGACCTTTTGTATGCTACCTACAATATCTTACCAATTATGGAAAGATTTATCAAATTATCTACAAACTTTATTAGCAAGGACGCTAACTACAACATTCTGAGCGAGTTGTGTTTGGAGGTACAGGGCAACAGGAAGTTCAAGCACCCAGAGAAGACCATATGGGAACATCTTAAACAAACACGAGATAACATACTAATTAATTAATTTCAATTTCACGATTATATACTGTTTTTTTTTTTGTTACATATATTCAGGATATGTTCACCGGCTGAAGGACCTCGGTCAATGGCCATTTGTAAGAAATTGTATTAACTTTTTTTTGCAATAAAGTTCATTTATTATTATTATTATTAATCAAAAAGGGGCCATTCTACCGACTTTGAAACGCTGTATCTTTGTTACTGTTCGTTTAATTTGTACAAAATTTTCAGGGTATACTAACAAAAATACGGTCTTTAACAGCATATTTTTTATTTACTTAAAAAAATTACCCTAAAAGTTATTTTTCGAACGTTTTTTTATTATTAAATAAAAGGGCTTTAAAAATATTTTCTCGAAAAACCCTCGAACACGTAAACTGAGATATAAGTTGAAGTATTTTTATCCATACTTTCATAAAGAATAATAAAGGCGTTTTAGAGTTAGATTTTTTTTACAGTGGTTCCAAAAATTATGGCCAACACTGTGTGTATACCTTATGCGCGGCCGTTAGGCCTCCAAATTAAAAAAAATGAGATCTATGCTCAGGTCTAACAACTTTTTTTTTGTATATGGGTAATTCTACAGAAACTATAATTTTTGCTGTTTCCGGTGAAAATTTTGTCTAAACAAATTATTTGCTTCCTAAAGAATTTATCAAAATATACTTAATATTATTAAGTTGTAGAAAAAAATCTTGTTTAAATATCATTCCTCTGGCATGTCTAACATAAAGGCAGAATAGAAAAAAAACTATTCATATTCTTTAATTGTAAGGGGCCGTCCATAAATGATGTCACACGTTTTTTTAATATTTTTGACCCCCCCCCTCCCCCACTTGTCACAAAGTGTCACAAATTATGGGACCCCCCCCTCCCCATTGGCGTCACGTCACACTGATTTAATTTTTTTGTAAGGTCTACCCCACGAAATTTTTGCTTAAAATAAAATCTTAATATCCAGTTTATAACCATTATTAATAATTAAATTCCAAAATATTTTTATAATTTTGTGACATCACAACCTCCCCCCGGCTGTCACAAACTGTCACATTTTCGACGACCCCCCCTCCCCCTAAGTGTGTGACATCATTTATGGACGGCCCCTAACTTCTTATTTTTGATTTCAGAACCCAGAAATATCAGTAAAACTAAGCTAAAAATATATATTACTTTTAAACCACCTTCTTAAAAAATATATATTGCACGGATGCTCCTCATTTACTGTATGAAATTTATTTCTTCATTCGGATTAACATTGTTTATTGTAAAAACTCAACCCACGATTTCCTATCGAAATACTTTTTTAACGTATAGGGCCTACCCCTGGTTAAAATGTCATATAGAGACCCTGTTCAACCGATAGATTTTTTTATAGGATTGTATCGGTATGTATAGGACCCCTAGTTGGGATTTATGGTTGTTCTATAGGGATATTCTTCCTTGATTTATTTGCTATCGGTCTCAATAGGGAAAATTTACATAAAAGTAGAAATTAGTCCGTTAGCGCCCGATAGATTATTTTTATGGGTCCCTATAGGGTATTTTAAGCAGGGATATAATTAGTACAGGTGGTAAGTATTTCTTTAAAATATCGTATTATAATTATTAGAGTGATTAAAAAAAACCTTTATTTTCTCGGAACCACGCTCAAAAGTTTCGTATAGATATAAAAATGAGCCTGTGAAAAAATGAGCTCTTAATTTCAAAAGCACTTTTCGATTTTCCATAAGAATAACATTATTTTTGTTTCTTTTTTTTTGTAACTAACGAACGATAGGTCGTACTGTAAAGTTCTTGACATATTTTTGTAGAGAATTAAACGCTCTACAAAAAAGGTTTCTTATGATTTTTTGATAAATTTGATCCTTCCAAAGAAATTTAAGGTCAAGTTCAAATTATACGAAATTTTTATGTTTTTTAACTTTTTTGGAGAGTCTACCCGACCCATTTATATTTTTGTAGAGAATTGAACGCTCTACAAAAATGGTCTTAATGTTAGGTGCGCGGACGAGCGATCTGATTGGTTACTCTAAAAGGTATGCTGCCACCAGGACCAATGGGTCCGTGTGTCTCTCAGGCTATGTATTTGTGAAATAAAAAAGGTGTTTATGATTATAATTAGGTTTTTAATTAACCAGCAAAAGAATACAAGTAAATATAAAGTAAAAATTAAAATAAAACTAAAGTAAAATTAAAGATAAAAGAAATAAAAGTAAAGTCGAATTATTAACAATGGTAAATTCTAGCTAAGGCAAATAATAGAACTTATCAACAAAATTAAATAATAATAACCAGAATAGTTTCCCCAAGGGAGAGCAATATCAGTTTAACACCAAGGTAAGAGCTTATACTCACAAATAATTATACCCACGAACATTGGACTTGACACTTTGGAAAAAGAGGGTAGTTTTAAAGGTAGAAAAAGGTATCTGCACTACACCTGGCACTTGGCACTGCTGCTTGTTGACTACTAGAGTGTTTGGTGAACTGAATTAAATAAGTTTATTCGCGGATGGTTTTTATACCAAAAGTTTGCCAATTAATTGAAAAAAATAGAGATAAAATGAAAAAATAAATGTAGAAAATAACGTAATCAATTTTGCTAAGGTCGCGACCCATCGGCAAAATATAAAGGCGGTATTTTTATTCTAGAAAAATAGCGTGATCAAATTGTGTC